CCATTGAAAACTTTTCTTTTGCATTTAAAATATAATTTATATGAGATGGCTGGATCCTTGGAGTGGAAATGAAGGAGGTCTCAGGACCTGACCACTAAAAAAAGGGGGCCATTGCTGTATTAAGTCTGAGTGAGAATAAAAGAACTGTCAAGTCATTGCACAGGGGGCTAATGCCACTCTGATTTTTTGTCCTGCATTGCCATCTCTCTGAATAACTGCTTTTTCACTTAAAGAAAAGTAGAACAGCTAAATGCTGTATTCTCTATGGGTTTTATTAGTTTAATCCTTCAAGTTAAGCTTGACACCTAGACGCTTTCTGAATACGTCCATGTAATTTTTGGCAATGATAAGGAAGTGCTTTCCCTCCGTCATGTTTTTTCAGTTTTCTGATTTAGCATATAGCTCTGAGATTTCCTCTTGGTCTCCCATGGGAAACAATGTGTTAGGCAAATAAAAATTCCCTTGGGCTCAAATATAGAAAAAAAGAAACAATAAGCAAAGGAAGTTGGACTAATGGATAATGTTCTTCCATTATTTTTATGACATAGGCATCAACTGTAAAAATAATTATGACCCATTTTGGGATCTCGCAATGACATAAATTGAGCCTTGTCATTTGCATCATAAGTAACTTGATGAGTTTTAGCTCCACGTTCACAAACAAAACATAAGTGCAGTTCTTTCTCTGCAGAGTAGGGGTGAAATCCAGCAGGTTCTGACAGGTTCTGGAGAACCAGTAGCGGTAATTTTGAGTGGTTCGGAGAACCGATAGCGGAAATTTTGAGTAGTTCGGAAAACCGGCAAATACCACCTCTGGCTGGTCCCAGAGTGGGGTGAGAATGGAGATTTTGCAATATCCTTCCCCAGGAGTGGGGAGGGAATGGAGATTTTGCAGTATCCTTCTCCTGCCACGCCCACCAAGCCACGCCCACCTGTAGTAAAAAAAATTGGATTTCACCACTGCTGCAGAGAAGATGAATAGGTCATTGTAGCAAGAAAAGATCTACCTTTCTTATTCTAGCACCATCCAAACCACACTATTAAAAAGATATTGAGACTCTAGAAAAAGTGCAGAGGAGAGCAATCAGGATGATTAGGGGACTAGAGACTAAAACATATGAGGAACGGTTGCAGGAACTGGGCATGGCTAGTTTAGTGAAGAGAAGGACCAGAGGAGACATGATAGCAGTGTTCCAGATTTGAAGGGCTGCCATGGAGAGGAGGGGGTCAAGCTAGTTTCCAAAGCACCTGAAGGCCAGATAAGGAATAATGATGGATGGAAACTGATGGAGAGATTCAACCTAGAAATAAGGAGGAACTTTCTGACAGTGAGAACAATCAACCAATGGAACAGCTTGCCTTTGAAAATTGTGGGAGCTTCATCACTTGAGACTTTTAAGAAAAGATTGGACTGCCATTTGTCAGAAATGGTGTAGGGTTTCCTGCTTAAGCGGGGGGGGGGATTGGACTAGATGACCTATAAAGTCCCTTCCAACTCTGTTAATCTATCTAAACATGGTGAACTACAATTCCCATGACTTGGTCTGAAACCTCTGTGGATCACTAAGTTCAGGAAAGTTGCCATAGATGATCCCTTATCATAGGGCCGAAGACTTGAAAGGAAGAATCTTATTTATTTATTTATTTGTTTCCATTTCTATACCGCCCTTCTCCAAATAGGACTCAGGGCGGTGAACAGCCAAAGTAAAAAACAGAGCATACAAAATTTAAAAACAGTATTAAAATAATTAAATATTTTGGCCGTAAATTAAAACTTGTAGATCATTATCATTTAAACTCTCCTGTGAAGGAAATCCAGAACTAAAACATCTCCAACCGCTATCCTTGTGCTACTGGAAGATTTCTAGTTCATGCAAATGGAGTTAAGTGTTCTATAAATTAATATCTGGACCATTTATCCAGTTAAGCGCGGTATTTGTTAGTTGGAGAAAATCTGTTTTTCCTCCTGTATAAGCTCTCAAGTGGCAAATAGTCACTATATGATCCAGTGTCTAACAAGGAGCATCACAGTTACATTCAGGGAGGGATACTCTGCCCCATTTAAACAGAAACAGATAACATGTAAGGCGCAAATCCTATTCAGGGTTTTCCACCATTGGCAGACGGCATCGTAACCCTCTAATTTCTGTGTTGGGTCAAACATATTTTTTTCTGGAATCTGGACATAAAAATATTTCAGTGGGATGTGATAGAATTGTATCGCTGCAGAATAGAGCTGAATGTCTTCAATACAGAATAAAACTGATAACGAAAGAAAAAGTTATGTTGTGTGATGTTATTTGTGTTTTTAATCCTCTATCTGCACACTCTTCCCCCCCCCCAAAAAGATCTAAATAATAGGTAGGTGGAGAATTGGCCTGTAATGAAATTTTTGTTTTTGGTTGATGAAATGTTTCAATAGGGTTGGGCCAGTTGTTCGGAACAAATGGTGAGATGCTTCCCATCCTTTCTTCTATGAACAAACCTCAGTTCTGCTGCCTGTTGCATCTTACCATTGGTATGACAGCATTGTTTGCTGCACAGCAGTTGGGCTTGCAGTTTCTACGGCCCCCTGTTGCTTTTTATCTGCCAGAGATGATCCCAAGCCTCTGTTTCTTTCTAAAGTAGAATTTTATCTCTTTAATATTAATAAAAGCAAGAATAAAAAATGAAAACGAGCAATAATAGTCAAGCAATACCAAGTATCATAAAACAAGAGTACAAAGAAATTGTGCCTTCTTGATCAATAACTGACGAACCACAAAAATGTTGGAGGAATGGACTAATTTGGACAGTTAAGGGACATAAAATAAAAAGTTTGCCTTGGTACAGGGTCAGGAGTTTCAAGTGAGGAGAGAAATGCCTAGCTGACAAGGTAGCAATTTCAAATTAAAACAAAAAGGGATACTGAAGAGCTGTGAAATGATTTTTCAGATTGAGGAAATTAGTATGTGACTAAACCACTTAGAGCTGTAAAGCACTGTAAATTGGTATATAAGTCTAAGTGCTGTTGCTATATCAACTTGCTATATCAGGTGTTGGTGATTACCTATAAAGCCCTACATGGCTTAGGCCCAGGGTATCTGGCGGATCACCTGTGGCCAGCAACAGCTCCCCATCGCCCGGTGCGCTCACAGAGGGCCTACTTGGGGTCCCGTCGGCCAAGCAATGTCGGCTGACAGCCCCTAGAGAGCGAGCCTTCTCTGTAGGGGCACCTACCCTCTGGAATCAGCTCCCCTTGGAGCTTCGGGTGGCCCCCAACCTTCACTCTTTCCTTAAAACATGGTTGTTTCGCCAGGCTGGCCTGGACTGAAGGGGTTTTAATGGGAATTTTAGATTCTTTTATCGTTTGAATTTTAATCTGGACTTGTTGCTTTATTGCTGTGAGCTGCCCTCAGTCCTCATGGAGAAAGGGCGGCATATAAATAAATAAATAAATAAATAAATAAATAAATAAATAAATAAATAAATAAATAAATAAAATTAATATAACATCAAGTTGGTAAAAAGACATAACTCTCTCCCTCTCCCTCTCTCTTCCTGTTGTTTTAGTGCAGTGTTCATATTCAGTTTTGGAAGATGTTATGGCCACTAATGCAAGGCGATTTTAAAAGTGGGATTGAATACATCCACGGAGAACAACATCACAAGCCGTGTATTATGAACTCCAGAACCAGACGCAGTAGGACACTGGATAGCAACTATTGAGAAGCTAGTGTGAAAATTCTTATTACACTACTGGTGGCAATCCATTGGTGGACTACCAAAGGCCCTTCGAGAGAGCCCTCTGATAATACTGCATACTGATAATACTATATTAATACTGCTAATATAGTTTTCAACTCCTTCAGGCCCAAGTTCCCACATTTAATCAAAAACACAGTTCACCCAAATGAAGCTTGCTTAAATAGATACCCTGCTCCAGAAGGCGGCTTTCTTAAAGCGGTAACGGTAGAAAAGCCTGGCAAAGTTTTACTGGGAAGCCACCCCACCCTTTATAGCCGTTACAGAAGGAAGTGCAGAGGGAATTAGGTGTCACTCCCAAAGGATCTCTCCTAGTTTTGCAGTGGGGAAAAAATGTGGCTTCAGGGCAGACTTTCTCCCTACCAAATGTGAACACAAGTCCAGGCGTGCTTGGCGGGGATGGAACAATAAAGCAGGCTGGTCTGCGCTTGCCCAAGCATGAAAGGTGCTCACATTGACTTGCCTCTCTAGCAGGCTTCCAAAACGTTGCCTGTGCCTTTGGGAATCCCTGGGAGCCTCTCTCTTCAGGGGCCTTGAGGAGGGACTGCAGCTGCAGGTACAAGCGGCCTCCACATAATTGGCATTCCAGCAGGCTGCTGCGGCCTCTGCTAAAGCCCCCTTTTCAACCTAGCCCCTCCTGACTGAGGGGGGCGCTTCCCCCCTTTTTCCTTTCCTCCCTTTCTCCAGGCTTTAATCTCAATCTCACAGGACTCCATGGGATTTACCAACTGCTAAACATGCAGGGAATTGTATCAATTTTTACCATCGCACCCTGGAGGGGAAAAAAAAAAAAAGTACACGTGCATTCCGAAGCGGTGAGAAGAAACCGATAGTCCCGGGCACGTGCCCGTAAAGCTTTCCAAAAGCCCTCCGGTGGAAGGAGCTGCGGAGGAAAGCTACGCAGGGTGGGCTCTCGGGATTCGGTTCCCGTGGGTTTAGGAAGAGCCGCCTCAGGACCCCCAAGGAAGGCCAAACTAAGGGCGAACCTCTCGGCCTCTGGGACCACGCAACCTCCTCCTTTTTCCAAGGCCGCGTTGGCCTTCTGAAGGTTGCGGGGGCAGCCCTCTTCCTCGCTTTTCGCGGCGCTCCGGCCTTTGGGAAAGGGCACCCGCCGCTCCGAGGAGAAAGCTCGTTTCGTGGGAAGGAAAGGCTCGGAGTCAAGGTAGATGGAGGGAGGGCGGAGGGGGAGGGAACGCGGCCCAGAGGAGGCGGGACAGACGGAGGTCTTTTGCCCTGGCCGATTGGCAAAGCGCTCGGCGTCCTTTGAGCCGATAGAAAAGTGAGGGCAACGTTTTTCTTTATTCGTCTTTGTCCTCCTTGCGGAGAAAGAACGGGAGATCCCGGCGCTAGCAAATACGGTTGCGCGTCGATCCCAACGATCGGGGGAAGCGATTCAGACGAGGCGGCTGCGGCGGCGGTGTCGGCTGCGCGCAAAGTCCAGAGGAGGCACGCAAGGCCGGCCGGACGGACCGCGGCTAGCAGCAGGTGTGAAGAAAAGAGGGCTTTGGGGGGGGGGGGGGGGAGGAAGGGAAGAGGGAGGTCCAGCAAAGGTCCTGTGAATTACAACATCGGTGGTTCCTGGCCGTCCCCGTCCCTCTGAGTTTAGGCGCGCTGCAGGCTGGTGCTCGCAGTTGGATTGCGCGATTCCGGGAGGGCATTTGTGGGTACCTCGTCCCTATCTGGGGAGGCCAGATTTAGCAAGAAATCTGTTGCCGAATTGTTTCTTTGCCAGTCTGCTGAAGCCGCGGTCGAGAATTCCATTCGTCCCCAAGGCGAAATAAAACTTTCTTCCTTTGTTTTTTTTGCTGAGAAATAAGTTCTAGGAACGCGTGACCAATAACTTGCCTCCCCTGTATTTGAACGGCTATGTTTATTAGCCCGTGAAGGACACGTAGAGACGTAGTTGTGACGACCTTTCAGTCTTGTGGGGAGGGAGCAAATGGCTTTCTTAAACTAAGATCGGGCATCTGGAGCCGCACTAAAATACAGGGAGATCTGCCGGCTGGGCTATGGCCATCTTGGTGAGGATTTAAACATACGGCTACCGAAAAACAAAACCAAGACCCCAATTCTACAGGATTTGGGTAGCTAAAGATAGGCACCTGGTTCTTTCTTTTTTTTTTTAAATCATTTTAAAAAAATGTATACAGTATAATATAAATTTCAGCCCAAAATAACAAGAAAAAAAATAAGTAGGACCCTAAAAACACATTCCATTAAAAAAATATGTTTTTTATAAAATGCTTATCAAAAAGCTGTATCTTAACTCATTTTCTAAAAGAAAGTGGAGGCTAAATGCATCTCCCAAGGGAGGACATTTCTTAATTCTGGAACCCTGCAGGAGGGGCAAGGTAAACTTTTCTTCAGTTAAGCTCCTCTCTCGTTCATTTGGGTAGCCTTTATTTTTGCAACAGTATATAATTGATTTGCATTGTCTCTTTTGTGCTGTCCTTCCCCTCCCCCCTCCCCCCTCCCAAACTCCCCAAACTAACCTACATCTCTGGGATTTCCTGAGAGTCAGCCATCCAAGCACTAACTAGATTTGACCCTACTTGGCTCCAAACTCGGAAGGTGGTCCTCAGATGGCCCCTGAGAGTGAAAGTTGGATTTCCACAAGATAGTCTCCTTTACATTGCACTATCCAGGAAGGTTGGTTGAAAAGTCTTTCTGATAAGCCCTGTGAACTATTTGGGTTTTATCAAGAAAACATCTGGCAACAAGCAGAATGTTCTTTCAACATGGCAGATAATGGGAATGTGACCATAGCATAATTCTTTGTTGACAGCCCCACTCCTGTTTATTCTAAATTATTTCCAGATTAGCAGTTCCTAAGAAAATCCATTTAAAAGTAGGCGACTGAGTTAGCTTGTGCTCCTCTCTCTCTCCTTTCTCCTTTTCCCTTTTAAATCAGGCTTTCACAATCTGCCCTTTAGACAGACTCTCGCTGCAAAGGTTGAGATTTTATTGCCCAACACCTTTAGAGGGCTGCAGGAAATAAGTGGCCTTTTGTCCACTATTGTCTGTACTGATAAAAGTGACTTTCCCAATGTTATCTATAAGCCTACTGTGATCCATTTAAAAACAGGAAGAGTCTGGTAGCACCTTGTCATATTAACACATTTTATTGAAAAAGCATAAGATAAAAGGTGTGGAAATAATTGCTCGGCAGCCTTGCTTGGGGAATACAGAAAAAGCACGCAGCTCGGGGGCTGGTTAACACCCTGAAAGCCCTCCCAAATTCGCCTTTTAATTAATTTTTTTAACATTGTTTTAATCATCCTTACCTCTTTTTAAATTTTAACTTTTCTATACTATCTTTATGTGTTAATATTTTAATGGACACCTGTCCAGAGTGTGAGGCAGATGAGTAATTCCAAAATGTGATAGATGATGGATGGAAGGATGAACACTTGGACAGATGGACGGACAGATACCGGTAGAAGAAATCAAGCTTTCACAAGCTGTAGCTTAATTCATCAGATGATGTTTGGCTATCATGTTGTAACACAGGCAAGATCAGGAAAACGGGGCTTCAAATAGTTATATGGTAAGGAAAACATCAGCAGATGAAAAGGTCCGGCGAGGAGTGGAAGTTAATTGTCTCACTGGCAGTTGTTTTGTTTGTCCAAAACTGCTATTCTGAAATAAGTGAAGAAAATACATTTGTGACTTGATCTAAATCCAAGGCAGTGCTACAAAAAAAGCTATTTGTTGCTTTCCATATGTTTAGCTTACATCAGTATCCTGTAAACTCTGCAAGCCAGTTTAATCCAGGTGTTACATTGGTTACAGTAATGTATTTGCTGTGGGATGAGCTTCACTATTTGGTTGAGCAGCTGCTCTGCAATGTTCCTTATCAATGAGTCATTATAAAGGCTTTGAAAGAAAGCCTCATTTTAAAATAAGTTATATTAGCACATTCCGCCATAAATAGAATGGAAAGAACTTGAGGAACTTTTTTAAATTAATGAATGTGGGAGAAAACAATGGTGCAGATTTATTTATTCCCAGTGGAAAGTAGTTTCCAGGGCCACAGGCCATGTTTTTTCTTTTCTTTTCCTCTCCTTTGCTAGAGATTCATGGAAAGATCTTTGCAACAAGAGCCCCAAGTGCTCAGAATGGAAGAGAGGTCAATAGTCCTACCCTCCGATGACTAAAAGGAGAGGCTGCTGCATGGCCTCCAGCTGTTATTCAGAACACAGGGAGGATTCCCAGTTTTCTAGCAGTTGTTCAGCATTTGCATGAGATCTAATGCATCAGTGGTTTTCTATTCAGATTTTTCCTGTTTTTGTTAACTTTTCCCCCTTAATAATTTACATTATATGGCTTACTTTTTATGGGCAAACTGACCTACTACAGTGAAAACAGCAGAACTTCTGGCCTAGGGGCTGTTCAGATGTCCTTCCCAATTTCTCAAGTCCTTAGCAACAGGTAGATTAGCTAAGTAATTTTGGAAGTTGAAGTCCCTATTTCAGGGAGGATCCAAGACTGGTATGGAAAATCCTTTGCTCTCCTTTTGGAAGGTTTTCATTTTGAGTGCCATGTTCAATGGATGCATATCTTATTTTTTGGGGTGGGTGGGGAGAAACTTCTGGAGGGGGTTATTGCATTAAAGTTTTGCTCTTCTTTCTTGTTAAAGGCATATGTAGATGGTAGTAATCAAAGCTAAGGGCATTCATTAAGAAGTATCCGATATTGTCTTTATCCCGGTCATTATGGTGAGATAAATATATTAGTCCATAGCCATCCTAATGGCTGGTTTATATCCAAATTCTGGCTAGTAATCTTATTTATGTTCAAATTCTGGCTTAGTCCTTGTTTATTTTTGTGTTTTTCCCAATCCACAGAGGCTCAAGGCAAAAGCAACACAACAGGCATTGATTCTCAAGCTTTTCCCCCTAATTTCTGATTACTAATGGTAGAAAAGGAAGAAAACAAAACAAGTTGTAATATTTTGCTTATCTGTAGGACTAATCTGGCTTGTTCCTGGATCCTAGTTAAAAGCAAATCATAGTTTGATAGGTGAACACACTCGCATTTTACAAAAAAATTATAATAGGCAATTTTTGCTTTTGGAGAGATTTTGGGCTTAACTTCATGAGCCCTTCTTAGAAAGACTGAACTTTTCCGGAATAACAGCAGTTTTGATCATTGCAGAGAGGAAAAGCCAGCCCTTTCTTATTTCCATCTTGTGATAATTGAGATTTTAAGATGCTTGATATTCAAAAGAGAAGGGTCTTCAGCCCTCTACAGATAAAAGAGGGGGGGGGAATGAATGAACTGCTCAAAGAAGAAGGAATATAGAAATAAATAGAACCCATGGGTTTGAGGGAATTGTTGCTTGTGGGAAATGATCTCCTTCCTAATATGCTTTTCTTGCTTTTGATCTTCAGGTAACTTCCAGAGCTGCAGGGACATGTCCCATGAATCAAAAATGTAGATGTATTTTTCTTTAAAAAAGATATGTGGTTCTTATAGTTGTCTCTTCAAAAGTTTAAGGCAATTTAGGTATATCCTTTAATTATTAGTTTCTTCTCCCTTCCCCCTTAAAGCTTTGCAGAGGCTTTCTCAGTTCCTTTGTGCCGGATATATCTGTGCCAGTAAAATACAAAATGGAATCACAAGAGATCATCTGAGCTTCTTGGCAAGTGGCACTATATAAATAGGAAGGAAGGGACACTGAAGCCTTCTCATTGTAGCAAGCAGGAAAATTAAGGAACAGGCATTCATAATATGCTTTCCACTTGGTTTAGCTAGTGACACATTAGTCTGAATGGAGCTTTGATCTGGTTGAAAATTACCTTTGGTCGCTAAGAGAATCCAGTAAGTTAACACAAGCTGACGGCTGAAGGATTTGTTCGGTGAAACAGTGGGACATTAAGCTAGAAATAGTATACAAGAAATTTTTGCCTTTCTCTCTAACACTTGCTAGTTTAGTTGTGAGGGAAATAAATCAGATGTACCCAACTGAAAATATGAGAAATGTTGCTTTTAAATCATAATAAAAGAGATCTTAGACCAGTGGTGGGTTGCTACTGGTTCTACCCGGATCAGCAAACTGGTAGCGGCAGCAGCGGGAGGCTCCGCCCACCCACGCCGGACACATCTGCACGTACGCAGAAGCATCGCACACTCACATGAGCGAACTGGTAGCGACAAGTTTTGCAACCCACTACTGCCTTAGACTGTATATAGAATTAGATGACTTTCACGAAATCAGCCAAACAAGAGTGGGAGCCCTAGAGGGGACTATGCTGGGAATCAGCCAAACAAGAGTGGGAGCCCTGGAGGGGACTATGCTGGGAATCAGCCAAACATAATATGCTGGAAATCAGCCAATAAAATGCTGGAAATCAGCCAAACAAATAGGTGGAGAGTTGGAGGAGATTATGCTGGAAATGTTGCTGGAAATTAGCTAATAATGGTGGTAGGCTTGGAGGAAACTATACTGGAAATTAGCCAAAAATAGTTGGTGTTTTGGAGGAGACTATGCTGGGAATCAGCCAAACATAATATGCTGGAAAACAGCCAAACAAGAGGGAGGTATGGAAGAAAATATGCTAGAAACTAGTTTAAATAAAACATGTTTTTGTGATTAATCTGTGATTAATCTGTGTAACATGGAAATTGTAATAGAGTGTTTTTAATAAGTGTTTTTTAAGTGTGTTTAAGATACTAAGATTCGAGGAAAAGGGTCAAGAGATTAAGAATTAGATAGAATTTTGTTTTAGAAAGTGTAATAAAAATGGAGTTGTATTGAACTTGAAATTAAGATTTGTGGTGATAAAATTGTAAGGTACATAATTGGAATAAGGTTAGAATATTATTAAAAATTATTTTGACACTGATGGTAAAAGATACAAGGTGAAGAAGAACAAGATAAAATCAGGATTGATATATAGATATAAAAATGAACGAAAGTTAGTTTGAAATTAAAATTGTATTGATATAATGGATTTGTTTAGGTGGAGATGCTAGACTTTATGTTAAAACTTGTTTTTTTATGTTTTGAATTTCTATCCGCAAAAGATGTAATGGGAAATTGAATGGAGCTTGTTAAAGGAATGTAAGCGTGGTAACCATCTATGACCGGATCGAGACTTTGTTCTTAAAAGTTATATTTTATGTTTATGTTTGAGAAAAAAAAAACATTTACAACAACAACAACAAAAAAAGAATTAGATGAATTTCTGTGTTAACAGTTGGAGATTTTTGGACCACTCCCTACATTTCCACTTCATGGATGATTTTAAAAAATATGGCTACTTATTTAAAGCTTTAATTTTCTCTTCATCCGGGAAGTGAAAAGTGATAGACAGGCCAGCAGTAATAATAAAAAAACAGATAATCCCTGCTTTTTAGCAGGCAGCAGAAAGTCATAGTGCACAAGATGTAAAGGATTGAGGAGGAGGAAGGGGGGGTGGAAAGTCTCTTCTTGAAGTGTGGTAAAATGCAAGGATTTCATGACTGCCTGGATACTCAGAGATTACTGGTTTCTTACTCTTTCAGCAGAAAATGTGATGTAGCTCATGCGTGTTTTAAAATAGAAAAGGGGGGTAAATATATAAACCAGCATTAGTTACTTAGCCAAAAACAGATATAGCTGTATTAAGTATTGAAGCATTATTTACTCATTTCTGTTTCACCTTTCTTCCAAGAGCAGCGCTTAGGAAAGTTTCCATTTTATCCCACAACAATAATTGTATGAAGTAAGCTGAGTTGAGAGTTAACCACTGTAACTCCTTGGCTTCTAAGCACTGCATTGGATCCTATGAGACCAGGCATGAGTTTTGCGATTTTCAGCAGTTTATTTGATTTTCTCACATATGGGACTGTAGTTAGCTAATAGTAAATTTTTTTAAAAAAAATACAGAAAATATAGAATATAAAAAATAAAGCCATATCAACCAGGCATCACTAAATAACTATCAAGACAACCCGGAGGTGGGCTCTGTCACACAATCAGGACTTCAGGCTCAGGCACAAAATCAAGTTTTCAAGGCCTTATGGAAGGCCAGCAGGGACAAGGTGAATCTGATCTTCAGCGGGATGATGTTCAGAAGTGTTAATTGTCACGGCAGAAAAGACATTTCTTTTGGGTCCTGCCAGCCAACATTCCTTATCCAATAGTACCTGAACCATGACCCTTCTACCGAATTGACTAGGATGGCAAAAAGTAACTGCAGAAAGACAGCCCCCTTGGAACTAGCTTCCAAGCCGTGAAGGGCTTTAAATCTGACAATCACACCTTGAAATTGCTTTGTTTAGTACTGTGATGGAATGTAGAAAAGAGGTGGATCCCCTGGAGGGTAGGGGTGCATTCCAGAAGAGTAAGAGGCAACTCAGTGCAGATATTTTGTGTGAGAGAAAGAGGGTGAAGACAGACCCTCCCTAATATTTCACGGAGTATATTGTAGATGCAGGAAGTGGAGTCCTCAATCTGGCAAGATTTTGTCTACAGCTGTGAAACAATAAAGAAGTCAGCTTGGAAGAATTGCCGTGTGTCATTCTTGCTTTTGTGCCTGACGTTTACCTCTAGAGCAGCGGTGGGGAGCCATGGCCCCTTTAAGACCTCTGGATTTCAACTCAATAATTCCTGATCAGTAGTATGAAATCCCAAACACTTCTTCAGAATAATTTCTGATGTGTGCCTCACCCTCTTTCCTTTCATTAGGATTTTGCTTGCATCCTGCAGATTTAATTTGCCATCATCCACAAACTCAGGAAACTGTTAGAAGAAGAAACTTTACTGTTTTTCCAGCTACCGCCTGATTGATGGGGCAAAAGATGCTTGTGGTGTTCTATAACTGTGATTGTCAGTTGCTGTCATTAATCGTGAACCATATTATCAGTCTTGATGACCATTCTCCCAGGCTCTGCATGAAGCAAACGTATTTGGAGAGTTAATGAAACTGCTATCACCAAGAGAGAGAAAGAGACAGTGACTCAAACCATCTGGCCTCTGAATAGATTAAGCAGCAGTGTTGGGTTCTAGTAGAGTTGGGATGCATTCATGTTCATCAAAACTAAATATGGAATGCTTGTTCTTGTGAAGGAGGTGTGTCTTAGCAACTGTTGTTTGCCTGGGCTCTGGAAAGTCCACATATCAATTTTGGAACTAAGGAAGACTCCTTTGGTTGAAGGATGCCAGTAACACTTCATGTGTTCCTTTACGTTTGCAGGCTAGAGAATGCTGGCTCCAGTGAGGCTGGGTCTGCCCACCTGACCTTTGCCACATCATGCTGTGTCCTTGGCGTGTGAAGCTGAAGCTGCTGCTTGCCACCGTGACTCTGGTTTTCCTCATCTCATGGCTTTACCTCTTTATGGGTAATCTGGAGTTGGAATGGGAGAGGGTCAGGGGTGCTATTCAGCAGGTTCTGATAGGTTCTGGAGAATCGGTAGCGGAAATTTTGAGTAGTTTGGGGAATCGGCAAATACCACGTCTGGCTGGCCCCAGAGGGGGGTGGGAATGGAGATTTTGCAATATCCTTCCCCTGCCATGCCCACCAAGCCACGCCCACAGGACTGGTAGTAAAAAAAAGTTGAATTCCACCATTGGAGAGAGGGTGGTTCCTAAAAATGGGTCCGAGATGGTGGCAAGTATAGACATGATAGCATTTGAAACATTTGGACAAAGTTTGGCCTGTTTTCTTATGCACTGATTGGGAATTATAGGATTTTTTAAAAGTCTGAAATCTGGAAGATGTAAGACTAGAGAAGGTTTCTATATTTTTAACACGTGATGTGAATTATCCATTTCCTTGAACATTCAGTTTGGTACTCTCTCTTCCCCCCCCTTTTGGGATAGTCACCATTTTGTTTAAGCATGGAAGTCTTAAAAACATAACAAAAAGAGACAGCTTATAGGGAATGTAAGGAAGCTAGTAAATTACAAAGCAGTGGGGGAAAAGAGAATGTTTTAAAAGATATAGAATTTTAACTTATCTATATGAATTAAATAAATTATTTGCTTCTGCTGTGATTTGCATTTAAGCTTCTTATTCTGGTTTCATGATATGACATGGAGGCTCAGTGGTCAGAGATGTAGCGTTCTTCCCATTCTCCCGTTTACATTTTTGGGGGTTTCTTCTACAGATGGATGTTCCCTTATGCTGCCCCCGTGCTTTGGGGAACAGTCAAGTCAGTACCTTGACCGTGAAGCCTTGGCATCCCAGGTGCGAAAAATGGAAGAGGAAAATCAACTGTTGAAGCTGAAGCTCAGCCACTCTCAGGCACAGGAGGAGACCTTGGGTAGAATGGACTTCAACCAGCAGTTCATCAAAGAGCAGGAGGGAAGGAGCAACTATAGTGGTTGCCCTAAACAGAGGATGGTTCGGAAGTGTGAGGTAAAGATGAAACTCATTATCAAGACATCTTGTGGACTGCCTGTTCATGAACAAAGATGTCTGCCCAAATTAGGGAAGTAGTCACAAGAAGCGGCATACTGTAGTCCAATCTCCTTGATAAATTCTGTTCCCTAAACTATTGAACATACTCGTGGTGTTCCCATTCTGGCCCCTTTTTGCTTAAAACGTTCTGTGCTGTTTACTTTGTAGAAGTATTTGTGCTCTAATTCACGAGAGCAAGAAGTTGGCAGCCTTCTAGTAATGTGGGATAATTGTTAACTTTGAGGAATGTGAGGGTCAAAGTAGTCAAAGCAAAGTTGCAAATAGAGAGGGTCACATCACACCCTTAGATAGGGTCATGACTCCCTGTTTCTCCATTATTTTTGGGTAGATACCATTGTTTTTAAAAATACATCAAACCGATTTTATGCCGATGTTGTGATATGTTTCTGGATTCAAAGCAGAATCCTGGTTCAGACCGGATCGCCCAATCCGGTAGCGATGGAGGCGGGTGGTTTGGAGAACCGGTAGCAAAAATCCCTGCCCCCCCCTATTGCCTAGCTGAGCCATGCAATCATCAGAGGCTTTTTTTTTTAATTTTTAAAAGCATTTTTTCTACAACCTCTTTCGCCGAAAAAAATGCTTTTAAAAGTAAAAAAAAAGCCTCTGATGATCGCGTGGCTCAGCTGGGATCATGAGAGGCTTTTAAAAGAATTTTTTCTACAACCACTTCGGCTGAAGAGGTTATAGAAAAAATGTTTTTAAAAGGAAAAAAAAGTCTCTGCCGATCAGACAAGTCAGCTGGGATCGTCAGAGGCTTTAAAAGCATTTTTTTTACAACCTCTTCAGCTGAAGAGGTTGTAGAAAAAATGGTTTTAAAAGTTTTTTTTAAAAAAAGTTGGCCACGCCCACTCAGTCATATTACCCCACCACCACCAAGCCATACCCACAGAATCGGTAGTAACAAATTTTACATTTCACCACTGATTCAAAGTGACCCCAAAAATAATTCCAATTTTCAACTCTTGAATCTCGAGGAGGTTTCATGGGATCACAAAATCAGTGCAGGCAAAGAAGTTGTATTAATAGAATAACAGAGTTGGAAGAGTTGGAATCCACTATTAGTTTGCATCTTGCTTCCATTTGTATCTGAACTCTGGTTCTTTAAGGGTTTATTATTGATGGGAACAAAATCCACAGGAGCCTATAGAATGGTGGGTGGAGTAACTTCTAATGGCTTGATTTGTAAAAGTGGAAAAGAATTTCATTGGGAGTCAAGCTTGATGGGTTTTTGTGTTTCTGAACAGCTCCTCCATGTTGCCATTGTTTGTGCTGGATACAATGCAAGCCGGGATGTAGTTACCTTGGTGAAATCGATCCTCTTCCACAGGTAACCTGAATATGAAGGGGCAAATGTGATTAATGTCATTCAGTAGCTCTTGAAGTTTTTGGCTCTTTCAGTCTTTAGAATTTGCGGGGCGGGGATTCAAATGTGATGCTGTTCTCCACCTTGGCTTCCAAGCTGCAATTCTGGATATAGGAGAAAAGATGAAGAGAAGGGGAAATTTGGATTTAATCTTCTACCCTTTACATGATCTACTCTGCCCTACCCTGCTCTGCCCAGGAGAGTACCGTGTTTCTCCAAAAATAAGACCCTGTCTTATTTTTATTTATTTTTTGAACCCTGAAATAAGCGCTTGGCCTTATTGCCATGCGCTCAAAAGTCCGATTGGGCTTATTATCAGAGGAAGTCTTATTTTGGGGGAAACAGGGTAGATGAGACTATAGTGAGTCTTGGGTTTGTGAACTACCATGCCATCATATGATGATGATGAAAAAACATTTGGAGAGTGGGATAGGACTGTTTTCTTACGTATCTTGCTCCCATTTCTTGTGAGCATAATCTTTATTCTCATTTGATAGGAAGAACCCTCTCCATTTCCATCTCATCACAGACTCAGTGGCCCGACAGATACTACAGACAGTCTTCCAGACCTGGATGGTGCCCTCGGTTCAAGTTAGCTTTTACAATGCTGATGACTTGAAGGTAGGAGAAGGAAATTCCTACTTGAGTTGCCCCTGCCTCCCCTTGCCTATTCCACCCAATCTCACCTCCTTTGGGATGTCCCACTCTTTTTTTTATGCTTATGCCAGTTGCTGTTCTTTCTGTTGTTTTTTTGAAAACTGGGTGAGAATGTGGGTCACTATTTGGGTGGGTTGAACTTACTTAAGTTGCTCCACTAACCAAATCAATAATATCATTGGGGCGACATCTGGTGACATCATAGAATAGACTCTTGTCAACTCTGAAGCTGACCTGACCGAAGCCATCTTGGCGCTTCAGTGTTGCCACACTGGAGCTGAGGGATAGGGAGGGGGGATTTGAGATAGCTGGGACTTTGTAGCCAAAATAAAATACTTTCTCTTGAGAACCAAGGACATTCTCACACCTGATCAGAGGAAAGAGGAGTGATGTCACCAGGCAACCAGAGTCATGATTGGACCATGTGACTGATTGTTTTGAGACAGTGAACAACTTTTAATTAGGTGAAAACTGTGGGAACTTTCAGAATCAGTTTTCACCAGATCTGTGCCAATATGATATATCCAATAAAGTTATTCTTTGAGGAATCTACCTGCCTCAGAGTTTTGCTTGTTATGGGTCTATTACTTGGAACTCTGACAGGCACTTTCCCCATCCTCAAATATTAAATCTTATGTTCCACAGCTGAAACCCTGGGGGAATGCACTCTGGCCTTTCTCCTTGCAGATTTGTCCAAACAGCAATCTAAACATGGGCGTGCATGTTTTGGTGCCCAAAGCAAGATCGTGCTCTTAGGTCTCCCTGTCCTACCCAGAGAGCGATCCAGCTGTAGGTGTGCATGCCATAGGTACGCGGGGCTGGAATCTTTCTAACTAGGCTGAAGCTCTACCAAATTATGTTCTGCCTCTGCCTGGATCTTAAACGGACAAGCCTCTTAACATTTCTAGCCATCTCACATTTGAGAACCCCTGAGCCAAGGGAGTGGTTGGAAGTCTGGCATTCATCGGTTCATTTGTTGCAGAGGGAAGAAGGGATGCTAAGCTTGTCTCTTTGTCAGTGCCGATACATTGTTTCAGCAAAAAAAAAAAAGATCACTTCCATTAATGCAAGATCTTGGATCCAAATGATAATGAATTGTCTTCAAGCCTGGGCATAATGAATAATTATCAAGGTTGCAGCAGTCAACCATCCAGGATATAAAGTTGAAATAATTCATATACATAGAATACCATTCTGCAATTCAGGACTTCTAAGAAGATTAATCTCCTTGGAAAACTAAAACAAGTGCAGAAAATCAAAAGGCTGACTGGAGCAGTTCAATTCAGGAGAGCCATGAAATTGTCCAAAGGCATAACATGATATTTAATGATATTTAGTGACTCTAAATGTTCTACTTTAATTTCTCAGCCACTGCCATATACATGTTCTCCATAATCAAACAGAACTAGAAACACAGAGCATTTTATTCTGGTGCTATGTAGGGGGCTGCATTTATCGATAGTATTACAGGTAGTCCTTGACCTACAGCAGTTTATTTAGTGACCGTTCAAAGTTAAAATGGCAGTGAAAAAAGTGACTTGTGACCATTTTCACACTTATGACCATTGCCGCATCCCCATGGTCACATGATCAAAATGCAGACACTTGGCAACTGACTCATATTTATGATCTTTGCCGTGTCCAGGGGTCATGTGATCACCTTTTGTAACCTTTTGACAAGCAAAGACAATGGGGAAGCCAGATTCACTTAACAACCGTGTTACTAACTTCAGTGATTCACTTAACAACTGTGGCAAGAATGGTCATAATATGGGGCAAAACTCACTTAACAACTGTCTCACTTAGCAACAGAAATTTTGGGTTCAATTGTGGTCGTAAGTCAAGGACTACCTGTAGATCTTCTGCACTGTAAAATAAAAGCCAATCTAGTGTAAGAGAAAAGGCATTCTTCTGCCTCTTTTACATTTACCAACAATGGACAAAAGATAATTACATGACCAATTCATGAAGATGCAAAAGCAGATACTTTTTAGCTAAGAGGAATTGGTGGCTTTTAGTGGGAGGTATTAATATAGATCTATAGATTAATATAGATGTCCTCAAATGATGGCAAAGACCTGAATCAATACACATTTTGAAACTTTAATCAGCAGGGCAAAATATCTGTGGTCCTCCAAATGTTGCTAAAATTCCTTACATTTTCCACCAAAGCTATGCTGCCTGTGGCTTTTGGAAATTGTAGTTCAGCAGTATTTGGAATGCTATTGGTTCCCCACTCTGACTCCGAACCCCTTAAGAAATGGTAACAGGATTAGCATTGTGAAACATGTAGCTCTTGCACGTGTGTGTGTGTGTGTGTGTGTGTGTATGTGTGCAGAAGCATGGGTTGTTTTCTGACAACAGTCACCAGCACGGGCACTGCTTTAAATTGTTTCCTTGTGGAAGCTGCCATTTGAATGTAGGGTGCAATGGCCTGATCATATGTAATTTGTCTTAATGTTGCTGCTGTACCATAAAAGACTAATGATGGCCCAGATACAAGTCACACTATGTGGCCTGTATTCTTTGTAAGCTTCTCTACAACACTCATTTGGGGCTCTGGATCACAGCGGAGACAGAGAGTCTCTTCCTGTGCTAAATAGAATTTCATTAGTCATGGGCCATAGAAGCATTATGATTGGATGTTGATGATCTTGCCATTTTATTCCTCAGTGTCTCTCTCTCTTCTTGCTACAGCCAGACATTTCCTGGATCCCTAACAAACATTACTCTGGAATCTATGGGTTGATGAAGCTGACACTCACTAAAGCTTTGCCCTCTGACCTTTCCAAAGTCATCGTCCTTGATACTGACATCACATTTGCTACTGACATTGCGGAGTTGTGGGCTATCTTTGGGAAGTTCTCAGGTAAGTAAGGGACGGGAGGATTTTTTTTAGATGATCTCAGAATGGAAGTTATGGCTCTCCAAGATGAATATATCAATATGCTTCACATATCAATATGCTGTACTGATATATAGCCAATATAGCTGGTACAAGTTAAACAGTTTCTTGAGATCCACAATTTTACCATTTGGGGGTCTAAAATTCAGACTATTCTTCCCTAATCTGATGCTGTCTAGATAAATTGGAGTTCTGTTCAGGATCCCCAACTAGCCAATCTGGTTTATACTTTTGGTGATCTGCTCTGGAGAGTAGTTTAAAATCTACAGGTAGTCCTCGACTTGGTACTAGAATTTCCTTCCTTAAATGATGTCATTATGTTCAATATCACATGGCCACATTGTTTAGCAATGGCAGTCCCAGCACTTTTGGTTGCCCTCATAATTCCAGGTGCATGGGTTATTAAGCGGGGACAGGAGAGATCCCAGGTAAGGGGCATGGGGGTGCCACAGTGAGGAGGCCCTGGAAGGATCAATGCCAGCTGCATATGATTGCAGTGTGACACAAGCTTAGAGTAGCCAGGGAAAGAGAATGCAAGGGGTGTGAGGATGTAAGGAAGCTGGAGAAAGAATAAACTGTGCCTTGGTGGCGCAGTGGTTAGAATGTAGTACTGCAGGCTACTGCTGCTGACTGCCAGCTGTCTGCAATTTGGCAGTTCGAATCTGACCAGGCTCAAGGTTGACTCAGCCTTCCATCCTTCCATAAAATGAGGACTCAGATTGTTGGGGACAATATGCTGACTGTGGAAACCGTTTACAGAGGGGCCGTAAAGCTCTGTGAATCAGTATATAAGTCTAAGTGCTATTACTATTGCTATTGCTGTGGCTCAGGGGCTTATCCCAGGAAGTGCTGCCCAGCAATATGGCACAGCATGCCCCAGCCCACTCACCCTCACTGCCCTAAAATTCCAAGACCCCTATCGCCCTGCACTCCGCCACCCCAGCTGACCTTTGCCTTCTTGGTGCTTCTTTTGCTGCTGAAGTGTGCCCACCCTGGCATTTTGCAAGCCAGCTGCTGGTCACATGAGGCCATCTACCTCAGGTCTTGTGAGTACACAAGAGAACCGCAGGTGCCTCATTCTTGCAATGGTTCAGAAGACCTCACAAACTTTCCAAAGGCTTTCTGAAGCATCACAAGGATGGGACACATAATACAAAAAACAGTGCAGGTGGCCTTAGGAAGAAGGCCTGGTGTAGCCGACAGCTGTCTCCCACAAAGTATCATCATCAGGAGGAGGAAGATGGCATAGGGCAACTGGATGTGGCAGGGCAGTAGGGGCAGTTGGATTATGTGCTGTGGGTGGGTGGCCATGGTATGAGGCTGGAGGTGGTATTTCTCAATAGCAGCACTGGAGCTAAGTACAAGCCTGGGGATAGTGGTAGTTGACAGACTGCTGAAGGCTTCAGGCCTCTAACTTCAGCTGCAGCCCTGCTCAGGTACTAAGGAATGCCATAGTGCAGGCCAGACAAAAGGACATAGATTGGGGTGGGGGGGGGAGTTTAAGTGCCCCTGTGGCAGTGGTGAAATCCCCTTGGTTCTATCCAGTTCGCCGAACCGGTAGCGCCGGCGGTGGAAGGCTCCGCCCACTCGCTGGGATGTCACTACATCCCTTTTTTTACCATCTGCGCATGCGCAGAAGGTTCTGTGCACACGTAGAAGAGGCGTGCATGCACATAGCGTGCGTGCTCCCACACGGTCCCGTTTCCAAACCAGTAGTGAAGGTAAGTGGATTTCACCTCTGCCCTGTGGTTGTGTAACCGCTGTAACTTTGCGGGCCAGTCATAACTCACTTTTTAAAGTGCTGTCATATTTTTGAACAGTTGAATGAAATAGTCATAAATTGAGGTCTACTTCTATGGCCTAGTGGTTTGAGCAGGTTTATGGGAAATGTGACATAATATGGATTTGTTTTCTAATCCACCAAGCTGTGCTGTTTTTCCAAATTGTTAAAAAACCAGGAATGGGTGAGTCAATTATTGGATTGATTATTAGTGCGGTGAGAATGGGGAAAGTCTGCTCCATGCACTGGATCTGATTGGTGTCATCTTTAATCCAGATAAACAGGTGATTGGACTAGTGGAAAACCAAAGTGATTGGTACCTGGGGAATCTCTGGAAGAACCATAAACCATGGCCGGCATTGGATCGTGGTTTCAATACAGGTACACTCCACAACAGATATATGTCTATTCAGCTGGGACAATTACTGTATCAACTATTTTTATTTTAAGGCTACGAGTAAGCAGTGAACTGAGCTAGCAAGGCATAATTTGTTTTGTACTATTAAATTTGAAAAAGGAATGCAAGCCAGTCCTTTGGGATAGATGCATAGACAGCCTAGAAGTGAGCTTTGTATCACTTGTTTAAGTAGTCCTCATTTAACAACTACACTTGGGACTGGGAACTTGGTTGTTAACTGAAGCAGTCTTGAAGTGAAATCATAGCTATTTTGTGATCTTACTTCAGCTTTCCTTTGCTTGACAGACCTGCACAGGTCATAAATGTGTGGATTGGTTGTGAAGTTACTTTTTCATCACCATAACTGTGAACGATCAGACTCTAAATGAGGACCTACCTATAGTTTATCCTTCCAGTTGTGTTCTCCATGTACGTCGGGAAAGACTATTGTTGATGCATGATAAACGGGGATTAAGAGCAGTGGTGGAATTCATTTTTTTTACTACCGGTTCTTTGGGCGTGGTGTGGCTTGATGGGCATGGCTTGGGCATGGCAGGGGAAGGATATTGCAAAATTTCCATTCCCACCCCACTCTAGGGCCAGCCAGAGGTGGTATTTGCCTGTTCTCCAAACTACTTAAAATTTCCACTACCGGTTCTCCTGAACCTGTCAGAACCTGCTGAATAGCACCCCTAATTAAGAGGCAGGAGAAAGAGGAGAATCATTATTCTACCCAGTAATTCTGCCTAAAAATTCTCCCACTGCTAGGACAGTCAGCTATTGTTGTTTTTTAAACAAAAGCAAGCCTGATAATATTGCCTTAGTAAGTGGGCATGGTGTCAGTGGCATAGAAACATTTTAGTAAACAAATGAACGTTATAACATCGTGATTTGGATAAGTTTGGGGAGCCACAGAGATTGAGCAAGTGTTGTGGCCCACCAGCGGCCTGTGCAGATTGTTGCTGATCCCGACGATGAAGAGGCTGGTGTGGTGATGCACCAGCAGCCTGTGCAGCCGGCGCTTGAGTGGTGCCAGAGGCAGGGATTCAGTCAGGGCCTTCAGAACCTCCAGAGGCTCCTTTAAGTGAAGAGGATGAAGAGGAGGAGCCTCTTCTCAATGCACGGGCACGCAGAGCTGCCAAAAGGCAGGAGTGGTTCCTCAGGAGGAGGTCTCCTCGAGAGTAAGGCTTGGGGCTAATTGGCCACACCCTTAGCCTATTTAAGAAAGAACGCAGCTTGTAACAAGCTGCAGGAAACAACTTTAGTTCGCTAATCATCGCGTTGGGATTTCTCTGCAACCCTGCTTCTGGGCTTTCTGCCAACTCCAGTAAGACTCTGACTATCTTACCTGTGGAATTCTGGCAGGCTGTTAAGAATGCTTCTTAACAGCCGGCATTTGCTAAAACTGCATTATTTGAGTAAAATAAGTTTTGTTCAGAGTTTGTGTGTACTGTGTTCTTTGGGATCCGTAGTTGGGGCAGAACAGCAGTATTAATGAAGAACACCTTTCAGGACTGAGTTTTTGTCTCCTCTTCCATAGGGGTGATCTTGTTGCTGCTGGAGCGTTTGCGCCATCTTGGCTGGGAGCAGTTATGGCGGGTGACAGCCGAGCAAGAGCTCATGAATATGCTGTCCACCTCACTAGCAGATCAGGCGAGTGTTCTTGGTTTTGTGTGTGTGTGTGTGTGTGTGTGTGTGTGTGTGTGTGCTTTACTGCCCTTTCAGTTTTAAGTCCACAATGTGCCTTTCATTTCAATTTAGGCAGAGAAAGATTAGATGTTGCCATTTGACAAAAACACTAATTTGTTTCCTTCTGATGTGACTCCACACTTGCTTTTATCCTGGAGCTTTCTCCTCTTCCAGAGTGCCCAGTGTGCCAACTGCAATCTCTCTTCTAGGACATCTTTAACGCGGTGATTAAACAAAAGCCAGCCCTTGTGTACCGGCTCCCTTGCTTCTGGAATGTGCAACTCTCTGACCATACCCGTTCAGAGCAGTGCTACACGGAGGTGTCGGATCTTAAGGTGAGCATCCCTGGCTGAGACTTTGCTGATCTCCTTTTGTAACCTGGGGAAAACCTTGGATTTCTGTCTTGCTGAAACTTTCAGCATTCTGTAGTTTAGGTAAAGGGAGTGCTGGGAAGGCCTGTCTATTGCTGGAGGTGTTAGCCTTGGTCACTTTAGCTTTCTGTCTTCAGGTGATTCATTGGAACTCTCCCAAGAAGCTGCGAGTCAAAAATAAGCATGTGGAATTCTTTCGGAACCTTTATTTGACCTTCTTAGAGTACGATGGCAACTTGTTGCGCAGAGAGCTGTTTGGCTGTGCCAACTTGCCCAGTGGCCAGGTGAGAGGCTTCCCGATCTTCTTCCTCCTCGTTATGTCTGAAATTGGGATTTTTTAAATTCATTTAGCTAATTTAATCTGCATATGAGAAACCATGGAAGAGGAGGAAGTTACCAGGGGGATTACTGGAAGGGACCTATCACACAGGGGTTGCATTAACCTATATTAATCCACCAACAAACACAATGTCTTGATCACTGCTGCCAAGCTAAAAATGAGCAGGGCCTTCTGAATTATTTGGGCAATACCTGAGGGCTGTTTGAACTTCCTTGGTTGTTCACCTATGCTACAGTCAATAGCATATTAAAGATGCATAGTGATTACATGCAGTGGTGGGTTTTAGATTTTTTTACAGTCGGTTCTGTGGGTGTGGCTTGGTGGGCGTGGCAGGGGAAGGATACTGTAAAATCTCCATTACCTCCCGATCAGCTGGGACTCAGGAGGCAGAGAATAGATGGGGGTGGGGTCAGTCAGGGGTGGTATTTACCGGTTCTCTGAACTACTCAAAATTTCCACTACCGGTTCTCCAGAACTGGTCAGAACCTGCTGAAACCCACCTCTGATTACATATCGTTCTTGACCAACTGTTTTATTTTGAGATCTCATTCTGTGTCTCAAATACACTCCTATATAAATTTTAGCTCCAGCAAGCTTTGGAAGAGCTGGATGAAGACGATCCTTGCTATGATTTTCGGAGGCAAAGCCTTATTCAGCACCGCGTCCATCTCTTCTTCCTGCAATATGAATTTTCAGGGTCAGCTGATGAAATAGATGTAACTCTCATAGCTCAGCTGTCCATGGACAGGTACCAGATGGGGGGAAACAGAAGGGTGTGGAGGCATGCTTCTTTCAGTGATTCCTTTCATTGGTGTAGAACTGGAATTCCATCAGATTGTGGTGCTTTCATTTGGCACTTTGAACTTAAAAGTGAGAAAATTTACTATAATCTTAGCATATGCAAAATATAATAGTATTCAGCTTTTCAAATATTTTTAATAACACAGTTTTATAAGCACTTGTGCTTGCTGAGAATTATTTGGTTAACATGACACACAACCAGTATCCAATAAAGATTAATCCCAAAGGGGAACCACCAAGAGTTGGGAGTCCAATATTATTTTCTGTTGAAAATCATGAGGGAAAGATATGTAAATCTTAAACTAAAATATCCAGACTTTATTGTTTCCTTCCTTCTTTGATAGAATATCATACCTGAGGTAGCATCAGATGACAACTATAGTCCATAAAGTGAAAGTCTTGATAAAAAGATAGATGTAGCCTGTGCCCAGTTGATAGATCATGTGAGAGGCCCACATAGGCCATTTTGTATTTTCATCATGAGGGAAGGCAAGATACGAAATGATTTTGCCTGCAATGTTTACAAGGTTCCTTTTGACCTTTGCATGTGATGGTAGTAAATCCCATTGTCAGAGGACACCCAATTAATATTTTTAGATCATCTATGAGAGTTTAAGGGTAACTATTCTATAACCAGCCATAGTCAGATGTTCAATCTTCATTTTTTCCCTGCCCCACAAGCCTAGTTAAGGGGTGTTACATTGGTTCCCAAGATCAACCAGTTTGGTACTAGGAAAGCATGGTAAACTCTTAGCAGTTAGGAGAGGAATTAATTTGCCCCAATCCTGAATCCTGAGCCGAGTAGAGGGGCTTCAACTATTTGATGTTTCTTTTATCCTCTTTCCTTTGTATTAGATGTGCCCTTCTTGAATTGAGGCATCCTTAAAATACTTTGTTAGGAAATGCTGAGATTTTAGCTTTGCATCCCTTAACTTGAGCCAAAATTGTAAAGTAATCTGTTTTCTGGACAGAATCAATTATGGAAGGCAAATGATTAGACCCAATTAACAAAAGGTCTGCATGAGTCACCAAATGAGTTTAGTGGTGCAAATTGGATGGGGAGAGCATGTTTAAAGAGCATGTTTTGACATTGACACGGAGGCCGCACAAAATCAGTTCCAGACTGACTGTATAAATTTGTGTACCTGTTAAAATCAAAGATAAAATATTATTAATATTAAAACAAGGATATTTCCTACCTACATTTGAGTTTTAATTTTGTGTAAATAGTATTTGGTCTTAGGATACAGTGCTGATTGCACTTTTTCAGAATATCACAGAAAAATTGATTGTCTGAACACAAATCCTCGTGCTTGCTATAATATGAGCATTCCTGAAATACCTATTTCTAAGGTATCTGTTATTTTCATATTCAACAGCTGGCATGGTATTGGCGAAGCAGTAGGAAAGGGAGAAAACAAAACTTTAAAAATGGGGCAATGGAACATCACCAAAATTACATTTGGGAACCAAAGAGCATTTAAATTGTATTTTAGAAGGGTTTTGGGGGCCTGGGATGTCTGGGTTCTATAGCTTTTTGTTGACTAATGATAATATGTGATGCTCTCAATTTGTCTTATTGATTTTGCAGGTTGCAGATGCTGGAAGCGATATGTAAACACTGGACAGGCCCCATTAGCCTGGCTTTGTACATGTCTGATGCAGAGGCCCAGCAGTTTCTACGCTATGCTCAAGCATCGGAGGTGCTGAGTAACCGTCAGAATGTTGGCTATCACATTGTATACAAGGAAGGGCAGTTTTACCCAGTCAACTTCTTGCGCAACCTGGCCCTGAAAAATGCACAGACCTCCCACGTTTTTCTGATGGATATCGATTTCCTGCCTATGTACGGCCTCTATGATTATCTCAGGTGTGTCTTATTGAGGTCCAAAGTGGATCAAGGCAACAATATGGTTTTCAACGGAGTCTCCGAAAGATCTAAGAAATTGTGACGTCCCCAGTCTTTTCTTCAGTGTCCCTCCACATAGGTCTTGATTCTCCCCTTTAGCTGGTGTCAAGTTTCTTCATTGTGAAGAATTTGTTGCTTTCTTCATTTCCTCTTTCCACTGATGTTGCAGTTGACTGCAGTTGTTGGCCATGCTGACCCCGGAGGAGTCCATGAGCCTATGTTAGTTTTATTCTAATGTATTCCTTAGGCAAAAAAATATGTCAGTCCTAATACCCTCCAGAGGGTTTGAAATCTTGAAATGTTCTGTTTGCAATTTGTCTCCAGGTCCTCCATCATGCAGCTGGAGCTGCCCCCAAAGAAGGTAGCACTCATAGTGCCTGCATTTGAGACTTTGCATTACCGCCTCAACTTTCCTAAATCCAAAGCGGAGCTGCTCACCATGCTGGACATGGGCTCCCTCTATACTTTCAGGTAAGTGCTGATCAGAAAAGATCCATTTTCAAGAACCAAAGATTGGGTTAAACAATTGCTGGACCATGTTTAGCAACTAAAGGGCAGAACCAGTTTCACAGTTTTCTTCAGTAACTTATGCACCAAGATTTAGCTGGTTATTTGAAATGGATTCATTAATTCAGTCCCTGGCTATGAATATATTTTCTCTTCTCCCTGTTCAATTTATGTTCAGCTCCAGGGGTGGTATTGACTTACATTTGCTACCAGTTTGCAAATGTGAGTGCTTGCGCACGACACCTCTGTTCTGCGCATGCCTAGAGCATCAAAAATGGGATGTGATGGCGGGTGAGCGGAGCCTCCCGCAGCCGCTGCTACTGGTTTGCCCGAACCGGAAAGAACTGGCTGAATACCACCACTGTTCAGCCCTCTCATTTTCTGGCACTATTTCCTTTCAGACTTTTTTTCCCCCATTTCTCATGACCGTTTCCTACTCTGCATTTCTCAGATCATTTAAACCATTTTCTCTTCCCAATTTTTGCCCCTTCTCCCCCCTCCCCACAAATCTCTTTACTACTCTACTTCCATTGCCTTTCTTTCTTTATAGTGAAATAAATCTGCTAATAGCTTGGTTTCCATTGATACTTTAGAGTATGATAATCTGTTTTGGTCTCCCCAGCCCCATTATCTCCCATTTGTTTCCAGGCATAATAAAAATGGCTGATTTTGTCTGTAATATGTTTTGATATATACCAGGAAAAAAGGCTGCTTCTCCCACACAATCCAATTCATCCTAAATGATTAGGTGGTTAGAATCTTGCTTCTGTGTCCCATTATCATCTGAGGTTTGCTTGGGAAAAAATGTCCATCTTTACTCTCAAATCATTGTGAAACCCAAAAAGAAATCAGAATTCTGCTGAAATTCAATGGGAAAGGTCTGAGCTTTAGCAGCACAATGTCAGTTTCTTTGGTTTGGGGGTAGTAAGTTGAATCGGGAGTTTTCTTCCTAGAATATCTGTGCTCCTACTTTTATTTTTGCAAAGGCACAAGACCTGAGATAAGGCCAGTTTCATTCGGATTGTGGTATTCTCTTACACTCTCTCACATGGGTAGCCTTTCTTTGGAACAGCTTGTATCCTAAAATAAGGAATGTGCCCAAAACATTTTTATTTTGCAGAGCATTTGAATGTTGATCGTACTGAGCTGTCCTAAGACATTAATTGGATTGTCGGGAATTTTTAATTGTTATATATTTATTGTATGGCATTGTAAACCCATTGGAAAGTGAATGCTTAGTAAATAATTGCATAAAAAAATGAACATAATATTTTGTGACAATCCAAGAAGTGTGACTTTTGATAGAGGTAATAAGGAAGTCTGATTAATCTAAGCTGGTTTTTCAATCTCTTAGTTTTCACTATAGGAACCAGATTGAAGTATTTTCACTTAGTGTTTCCCCAATGATGTATATTTTTGTGTACAGGTATCACGTGTGGCCCCAGGGCCATGCTCCAACAGATTATGCCAAATGGCGGACAGCCACAGTGCCGTATCAAGTGGAATGGCAACCACAGTTTGAGCCTTACGTTGTAGTAAGGCGTGATTGTCCCCTCTATGACCAGCGGTTTGTAGGCTTTGGCTGGAACAAGGTGTCTCACATCATGGAGCTTGATGCTCAGGTGAGTATGTGAGTGGACAGATGTCCACTATCTGTCCTTTTTGTTGAGGAAGACCAGGGCTAAAGAGAATGGCTTCCTGTCAGCCACTTCCTACCTTTTCACAGGAGTATGAGCTGCTTGTCCTGCCCAACGCCTTCATGATCCATATGCCTCACGCTCCTAGTTTTGACATCTCCAAATTCCGCCAGAGTACTAGCTATCGGAACTGCCTCCAGACTCTGAGGGAAGAATTCCATCAGGACCTGTCCCGCAAGTATGGTGCGGCGGCACTAAAATACCTCACTGCAGAGAGAAGTTTATGAATGGCAACCAGAATACCAAAGGATCATGTGACCTGCAAATGGACGAGGCTCAAGACTTCTTGGAGAGAAACTCATCAGAAGCCCAGTCCTCCTAGCTATGGTGACCTAATGGTACGGCCATGCCTAGATTGTGAATGGAATTTTAGCCACAGCTGTCGTTCGGGGCTATATTTTGTGGCAAATTCTATTCTCAGATTAACTAGGCAAATTACATTTGTATGCATCTTCCTTTTTTTTACAGATTGTTCCCAGATTAAGAGGAAGTCAGAGGAAAAGAGGGGGAAAATGTGTGGCTTAAGTGCTCCTCCTTTCTCACATGCACTGTTTTAAATCAGTGCTTGTGTTCACCGACATTCAATGATGGAAAGGAACACTTTTGTTCATAATTGTAGCATTTTTTTTCTCTTTCTGTTTATGAAATAGCAAGGGCTGCCATTACTGTTTTCTAGTGTCTTCTCTTTGCCCGTTGTTCTCTAGCCTTTGTTCTTAACATATTTTATAAGAGAAGCGGCTCTAATGGCTCAAATCAGAGCTGAAAGGGGCTGCCCTGTTCAGTGCAGGAGTCCAAATTAAACAGACAGATGGTTATTTAGTCTTCAATTGAATGGATCCATGAAGGGAAGTCCACCAGATTTCTGAGTAGTATAATTGATTTGGACTGTCAAGTGACCTTCGGAAGCAATCTACTTCTAAAACCTGTTGTTGGGTAACACAAGTTAGGAGAGGGTGCTGTCCTGCTCTTTGATTTTCCTCTGGGTTTTTTTTTTTTTTTCTTTTTTATATGTTCAGTTGGCCGCTATGAAAATTGAATGGGGAACCTAGGTAAACTTCTGATGATATTACCTAGTTTGGATAATGAAACATCTGCAAGAAAACAATCAAGCTCAGAGAGCACCAAGGACCCCTCAGATCTCATTTCTAGCCTCATCCCCTTTCTCGTTTTGGCATTTCCCTGAAAATCAAATTTGAAGCAAGACAATTCATTTAATGTTAATGTTGATCTTTTTTCTTTTCCTACCTGCCTCTGAATATTTCTCAGCATTTGCAAGAGAAACTACCCTGTGTTTCTTACTTATCTGTTTAGTTATAGCCATATTGATTGAAGAGCTTTTTGTGCTTAACCGTATTCTAAAACAAGAACCTTATGTCACGCGGGGAAAAAGATTAAATGAAAAGAAATCCATACTACATATTTAGCTGAGAATATATGGCATAAAGTAATGCTTTATGCCATATACAGTGATGCTTAAAAAATTCTAAAAAACTCTTGAATTTTCAATAGTTCTGTGTAAATAGGAGCTAAAATATTATCTGTTCTCCACCCAACTCCTAACACACAATAAAAAGAACCCAATTAAACAAATGAGTCAAAATATAGTACAGATTCATTGATTTATTGCGCAAAGTGACCCAAAGGTACATATTTATATGTGACAAATGACTGTGAAAGTTTGCTTTCAGTAGCTATCATGCCAGCCACCCAAACCTGGGTAGCAGTAGCTGTAACTAAACATTTTCAACAACTATTGATCTGTACTACACACTGTACTGGTGGAAATTTAGCCCACTCCTTATGAAACAGGTTTAATTTAAGGTTGTTGGCAGGTTTCCTTGCACAAGTTGCCTATTTTGGATCCCTTCTACAACGTTGTTGTTTTTTGTTTTTTTGTTTTTGTAAAGTTTTTTTTCTACACGTTTTTATGTGATTGAAATCAGGACTTTGACTTGCCTTTCCAAACATTTTTATGTCTCGGGTCATCATCTTGCTGCATGATCCACGTTCTCTTGAGCTTCAGTTCCAGGACATTTTTCTGTATAATTTGGTGGCATAATTCAGAATTATAGTTCCATCAGCGATGGCAAATCATCCTGGCCTAGAGGCCCAAACCTGATACCAGCACTGCATTTCACAAATGGGTTAAAATCCTTATGCTGAAATGCAGCATTTGCTTTTTGCCAAATGCTTTTCATACAAGCTAAAATGTTTCTGTTTTGATCTCATCCATCCACACAACATTTTTCCAGTAGACTTTGACTTATCTGTGTATTCTTTCACAGACTGTAGAGAGGCAGCAATTGTTTTTATTTTCTTTTTGAGAGTAGTGGCTTTCTCCTTACGACGTTGCCATACATACCACTGTTATCCACTATTCTGCCATGCTAGTCATCAATGCAAGAAACGCCTCTTGGTTCCTTAAGTGTTTCCTGGGGACTCTTTGAGACTTCCTGGAATATTTCACACCTTGCTCTTGGGATGATGCTTGGTCAACAACTCCTGGGGAGGGTAACAATAGTTGCCTCCATATGATCTGCCCAATAGTGGACTGATGAAATACAAAGTCTTTGGAAATAGTTTTGTGATTTTTTCCCAGTCTGATGAGCATCAACAACTGTTTTTCGAAAGCCTTCAGAAATCTTTTGTTTGAGCCCTGACACACTTCTACACCCCTGTGCTGTGAAGATTGTAGAATTGTTTTTTAAAATAAGGTAGAACTTCCCATGCTCACACCTGATTATCATTACATTGATTTAACCACCTGACTCTATTTGTCTTTTCAAATAAACTGATCATCCTAGAGCAGATAGGTCAAACTGGCAGATCACAGGCAGGCCACGCCCACCCCAGCTCTGCTAGGGGGGAAAATGTCACGATACGTCACATGACGGCAACATGACACCGTGGGTTTGACACCCGTGTCCTAGAGTTTCATATACTTTTGCCACACACACAAATATGTAGATTTGGATCATTTTTCTCAATGTATTAATGAGCAAATATTTTCAACTCATTTCTTAATTGTGTTCTTATCTAGTTTTAGGAAGTGTGCAGGATGATCTAGAAGACATTTTAGATCATGTTTATGCAGAAATACTGAGAATTCAAGATTTCATGAACTTTTAAGCACCACTGTAGTACAGGTAGTCCTCGATTTAGAACAGTTTGCTCTGTGGCCGTTTGAAGTTACAAAGGCACTGAAAAAAGCAACATGACCATTTTTTTATACTTATGACCGTTGCAGCATCCCTGTGGTCACGTGATCAAAATTCAGACGCCTGACAACTGGCTCATATTTACGACAGTTGCAGTGTCCTGAGGTTATGTGATCCGCTTTTGTGACCTTCTGACAAACTCAATACGGAAGCCAGATTCACTTAACTGGCGTAGTTACTAATTTAACTACCGCAGCGATTCACTCATCAAATGTGGTGGGGAAAAAATCATAAAATAGAGCAAAACTCACTTAACAAATTTTTCACTTAGCAACATACATTTGGGGCTCAATTGTCGTAAGTTGAGGTCTACCTGAGTTTTTGAACTAGGCTCGGCTAAGCAAATGCTTTTGAAAAATTTAAGAAGGTATTTTTGAAGTAAAATTTCCTTTCCGTTGCCCCTTTTCATTGTTCCGCCATCTAAAAGTGGTGATTGTGCCGTTATGTCACACAGAAGCTCTATTTGACTTCTGCACTCACGAAATCACCTTAGTGCAGCTTAATTTACTGCTCAACACTGCCAAGCAAACTCTTTCCTCTCCATGGAGGAAGGTGAAGTTCATCCAAGGCCCTTCATATTTCCCATCCCTAAATTACAACAGAGTCCCCTGCCCTAGCGATGGAGCTAGAGTTTCAATTTGTAGGCAGCTGAATCTTTGCAGTCTTGGAAGTCTTTTCTGCACACTGTCATCTGTATAGATGCCTAGGGAATCTGATCAAAAAATCAGATTCAAAAATCAAAGAACACCTGTTGTTTGATTGGAAAAACCTAGAGTTCCAAGATGGTAAACATTTGGCTTGCAGTACTTCGGATGTTATTAAAAAGAAGCGATTTGGAACGTGTGTAAGCACGAAAGCATCTTCCACTCATTAAAGCAGCATTGTCTTCAGGATCATGTAACTGCAGAAGTCTCCTGGAAACGGAAATAGCTATTTTATTGAGTCACAGACAGTGTATTTGTACTGCTGTGTATTCTGAAGCACATCTTCTGAATCAGATCCAAGGATTGCACAACCCTTATAACAACGTGCTTTTAATGAATGCTATACTGGATTGTGTGTTGGGAGCAGCTTCAACCTAGCACTTGTTCATAGTTATGAAACACTGGATTACAAGGAGTTGGTTCTTCAGTTACTATTTATATAATTTAAACTGATTTCTCACTACATGTAAATTGTGCTTCTTGAATTTTCTAACAGTTCCTTTTTATCTTTGTGTTCTGGAGAATCTCCGGTACTTTCTGCTGCTAGGCTGTTTCTTCTGATTTTTCTGGTATTAAACTGGAATGTAAAAGTGATGGGACTGAAATGTTCCATCCTAATTTAAGGTGGAGTCATATAAATATTGATCCTAGTCCAAGTTGAAAATATAGAGAACTGGTTGTATTTCTTGCCTTTTTTTAAAAAAATAAATAAATAAAGTTTTTAGAAATTACTTTTCAAGCCTCTGGTTGGAATTGTGTGATTATTTCTTGCTAAAGAAACCCTAAACTAAATGATGCCTGAAACAACAAATAGTAAAATTATTTTCTTGAGGAAAAACTGGTAGCTTTTGCTGCACAAAGAGCTCTGGGTATTAAGTTATCCTTGTTCAGTTTTCCTACTTCATTAATGCATTAGTGCTAAATCTAAGGCAAGACAGAATGGAATTAAAAAATATGAAGTATTGAATTATAATTGGGAAACTGGTGATCCTTCATTTGCCCACATTACACTCAGGGGTGGGTTCTACTTACCTTTACTACCGTTTTGCAACGGGGCTACGCGCACGCGCATCACTCGTGCACTCTTCTGCACAAGTGCAGAAGCGTTTTCATGACATCAGGGTCAGTGGGCGGGGCCTCCTGCCGGTTTTACTACCGGTTCTATAGAACCGGCGCAAACCGGGGGCAACCCACCACTGATTACACTGCTGGCCAGGGCTGATGGCAAGTAGAAATTTATCCTCATCTGTGGCATCATAAATTGCCTGTTCTTGAACTAGTGAGAGTAGCTGGAAAGAGAAAATCACAGGTTAGGAAGGCATGGAAAATTCTGTCTCCAAGATGATGCTATTCCCAGAATGTTGCCTCATACTACAGGCAATAACAACCACCTGATTGCTATCAGCCCATTGCCCAATCTTCAGAATGGCAGGTACTTCTGATGTGTAATGTGTATAAAAAATATGGGGAGCTGAGCCGCCAAATTTTTGTCCTTTTGTACATTTCCCCCCCAAAAGCCATTTTGGGTTGTTGTTTAATTGGGATAAAACAAAAACAAAACATCCACTCCCAATGCAACACTTGTTTTGGCAAGGAAATAGAGATGCAGAAAACAAAGCTTTTACTTATGGTGTCCTTTAAAGTTGTTCATCACTCATTCTTCTGCTGAAGGGCTATGATTTTTTCCCCCAAAATTTTGTAACAGCTTAGAGAGGAAAACATGAATTATATATCTGAGTGGTTATAATAAAACAAAATTAGCATAGCAGGCATGTAAGATTTGTGAACAAGAAAATAGGCCTGGCGGGGGGAGTCTCCAATTAGTTGGAAAGATAAAAATAAACACTGCAGAAACAGTACTATAACTAAATCAGTTTTTTTTTCACATGTGCTTTATAAGTATGTAGTAAAGTAAAAAGGGATTTGGAAAAAGGAGCTAAGTTGAGAAGAGAGCCAAAAATATTATAGTCAGATCACAACAGTAAAGCTAACAAGGATTAGGTTCCCTAACCAAAGGGAATTCAAGAAGGGATAGAGGCAATCTCTCTTCTATTTGAAAAATAGAAAACCAGCTTTAGTGTTGGTAAATGAGTTGTGCATACGTACAGGCTAAAAGTCTACTGTACAAACTCTCTGTCCAACTCTCAAGACAAATAGCCTTCTATCTACCTAGCTCCTAAAACTCAATTGATGATCTATCATGAAAGTATACAAACTGGACCTGTGCAGTTTAAACATGATTTGAAAGAAACACTTTGCACCTCATAATAGTGTAAGACCTCTTTGCCATTCATTAAAGCAATTTTGTTTTGGTTTCCATTGCAAGTTTAAAATTAAGGTGCCACTGCTTTAAGAATCACAATAACTGTAATGGACTTCTTAAATAGCTGCATCCTTTTTGCAGGCTCAGTGGAAGTGCCCATTAAAAAAATCATGTTCACTTTGACTAGCCATCTTTAAAACCTGTTTCTCCTAATTCATGACTGTTAGCAAGGGTATAAGCTCTCTTCCCATGACAAACAAAACTTGAGACAATAGATTTTATTGTTTTATTTAGTAAAATGTTAAATAAATACAAATTGATCATTTATTCTGCACCCTCTTTTTCTTCCCGGTTTTAATAGACTAAAATCTAGACATGACGTTACCAAACCCACAAGGGAGTGGAAGGCTACAGAAAGAAGGCAGCAAAGAGACTGAAAAATTACTATGAGCACCAGGCTATTTCTTTTTTATTTTAATCCAAAAAAAAAAAAAAAAAGCAAAACCAAAACCCTTAGCTAAACCAAGTAATGTATCTGTATACCATTCACAAGGCAACCATCTGTGAAACAGGTTGCACTCAATTCACTTAAAGTCTTACAAATGATATAAGGACTGGGCTGCAGAGGCAATACAAGTATAGTTGAGTTTAGTTGGAACGTACATTGCAAAAGGAATGGGCATTATGGTATGAAGCAGCCAACTGCTGGCTGCATGAGACTGTGCGTTCCTACATGTGATTCCAAAGATGGATATACAAGGTTGGAGACTTACTACTGGAAAAGCAAAAATGGAATTTTCTGTGAGGTCAGTCACTTTTTATCACACATTAGCTACTGCAAGGAGTCCTGTTCCAATTATCAGAAAGTATTGTTATAAACAATTGAACCAGATCTTAAAAATAAAGATGACACAAGTGATTCATAGGGAAGTCAGCAGGAATATCTCTAGCTGCAAAACTGAGTAAATTACAAAATATGATATAAATCAGTATAACATTAAATACATCATGTGTACTTGACAAGGAAGCCTAAATAGACTAGCATTTATTAATTCCCTTTTTTAAAAAAACTAAACCAAGAGTTTCCTACTTAAATACCGAAATTTCAGTCCTGGCTTAATTCCTGTTGGCCTTATATTCGTAATACAAATTAGCACGAATGGGATTTTTCCTTGGTGTTTTGAGGGATACAATCATGAAGGGAATATCTTGTTCCCCAAGACCTACCTTTATGCCACAACAAGAGTAGAACAGTTAACAGAAAAGTTTGGTGTACTCCTTACTGAAGTAGAAGATTCTCAGAACAAGACTCTTCACAGTGATCCAGTTATCATGTTCCTGACATCAAGGCTGATATGTAAATACACAGCTACAAAGTACAAAAATCACTGAGATATTGGAGAAGGGAAACAAAGTTAAAAACTCAGCAACCATTTCCAAAGAGCAGTCTTTCATTATCTAAAGAATATAGACAGCAGATGTAACACCCCAATCATTGCTTTTATCACCTTCAATATGTAGAGGGAAATTTGCAAAGGAAAGACTCCTTTGTGATTTTAAATCAGGGTTCTAAATTGCATTTATGGGTAAGAGGATCATCTCAGCAGTCTTCTACACAGAGAATGGTGAAAAGGATTACAGAAGAGAGACAAAGCTAACATGCTTATCACTGCTTCCTCCAAAGTGTTTAAAGAAAGTTTTGCAAATATTTGAAAAGAGTTATTTAGGTGTTCTATGTGGATTAGAACTGACTCCTTAGCAAGGTTCATACTTCAGGCTAAACCAAATCCTGCTGAGTAAATCATAATGTCTGATTTGTTTACAGTATGCCAAAGTCACAACCGTTCATTTTAAAGATCATGTACTTTACAAAGGAGACCTTAGATAAACTGAGGTAGAATAAGTGTTGGGAGACAGGGAGATATTTAATGCTAAATAAATAGCTACTTATTTCAGTCATGATTTTTAAAAATGGAAGAGCTGTGTAGAGCTACCCTAAAAATGGCAAGACATAAGACAACAGCTAGTTATTATCCATTCTTAGATATGCAATACATTTATCAATATTTGAGGAACATTACAAAACCTTATGGTCTCTCATGATCATGTGTTAATGGGAAGACACATTGGGAAAGAATTAGGCCACCCTAGTTCACCTATATCACATTGGTAGAGCCTAGGAATTTAGCATAACTTCATGTTTTACACATCACTGCCTAAATCAGTTGGAGATGGAGGAGGGAATCAAGCCCCTGTTTATGAGGCATATGTGTTTTTTCTGAACCAAATCCACTTGTGGGACCTTCTTGCTTTCACTCATTGTCAGAGTTGAGCTGCTTGGGGGTGGGTGGGTGGAGGAAATAAACAACAATAATGAGGAACATAATTTGTAATCCTAGGATTTGTAGCAGGGGTCATACATTAACTATATATTGCAATTCTGAATTGATCAAGAGCACCTCTCTTAAGTAGGAATTTTAAAAAAAAGAAAAGGATTGTAGAATGACTGCAAGAATGCTTTGCTATGTGTTCACATTTTAAAGGAAATCAATGGATTAAATAGGATCAACATCTTAAAATAAGGGAGAATCATAATATTAAGCCAAGGGGAAGCATGTTGCTGGCCTACAGCTGCATCACAAATCTGTGTTTGCACAATTATTAGATACAATTTTCCAGTAGATTAACTGCATCAAGTCCCACAAAGGACCAGCCCATCTAATCAATTCTTTCATTTTTTTACAATATAAATCAAAATATTTTAACTCCAAATTACTTCCTCACACATTCACAGTGAATTCCATGATATACAGCACCACACATTTATAAGAGAATGTATTGTGATATACCGATACAGCTGACAAGATATAAACAGCCAACGTGGCACTGAATAGACGTTGTAGAAAAAGGAGGAGGAGGAAACCAAGATTAATTGTAAGCCACCATCAATCATAAGCGTGGTTTCTCCTAATTCTAATGATGTTTCTGTATATTTCTCTGACACAGTGCTGACATGAAGTTTTATCAGAAACACTGAACTTGGTAATTCTAGCTAATAAAATAATATACAATGGCAATCTTATCTAACAGAAACATTCTCTTTTCTGTGGTTCCCTTTTATTTTGAGAGTAACCCCTTGCATTGAAGAAAATCTAGCATTCATTAAAACATTGCACATTTTTTGTTCAATAAAATATTTATCCATTCTGTAAATATGGAAGAATCCTTCTGTAAAGTCCAAATTTTATTTTATAATTTGTGCTGTATTTTCAAATTTCAAATCTATTAACAACATTTTGTTTCTGGACACTGAGAATTCAGAATAGCCTGCTAATGATTGCTTTCCTCTCTTTCCCTTCATCTTAACTGGTTACAATGCCAGGGCAGGAGATGCAAAAAAAAAGTATGCATGTATAAAATTGCAGAATGATAAACTGACAACAGCCTTATTCATAATCCTACTAGTCAGAAGACAAGAGATTTATTCATTTTATCAGAATAAATCCAAAACAGATTTTTAGTCCATGGGAGACTTGCCTCAAGAAATCATATCCTTCATACAATTATAAAACTGGAACCCAACACTTTTTTATGCTTCTTTATAAACAAGAAGTTGCCCTTGCTTTCTGAGGAACTGACTCAAAAAATTTTTATTCATAATTTACAGCAGGACTGTCAAACTTGTGGCCCGCGGGTCGGATGCGTCATGTGTTGGCCACGCCCATGCCCGGTTTAGCAAAGGGGGGGAAAGTCCCGATAAATCACTTGACTGTGCCATGACAACACAAGTTTGACACCCCTGTTACAGCATATAAAGGAAGAGAATAACTTGCCATGGGATCATTCTTTCAGTCTCTAAGTCACATTTAGCAGGAAGAGTAGTTCTGCATTTATTCCACTTCCCTCTGAAGGACAGGAGATGACAATGGCTACCAAACTCCAGTCAATTCAAAGTGAACTCATGATCCAGGGACCCAGCAATTGGGAATACAGTAACTAATATTTACGATATTGTTTGCTACCATCAGCAGAGAAAACTGGGTTTCACAGATTCCTTTTTCTCTAAAAGGTGTCTTAACACAGGGCTAAAACTTGCAACCTGTAAAGTCAAATTCAACTTATCATACATGTAATCTTGCTTGCTAAAATATTCCAGGAAGGCAATAATATGAAATGGTTTATTAAATGGTTGGCTTACTAAGACACAAATTTACAAACTTTATTCTAGTAATATTTGCTCTGTGCATTCTTGTGATGATATTGTATAATCAGAGCAGCTGTCAATCTGACTAAGTGTCTGTCTTTCGTTTATACCCATTAATGACATATAATCTTTGGAAATATGCTAGCTTCACTACAAAATATCAAGAGTTGACAGTTAACCCTGACATTTTCAAATGTAAAGCAAGTTCTGTTTGAGAGGATTTTTTCTTATTCTTCACTAATTAACTTTAGAATGAACCGTCAGTTGCTGGGCTCTAAAAGCAAGAAGCCTAACTAAAAATGACTGAAGCTTCAGGGACAAGAATGGAAGCCACAAGAACAGAATAGCACACCTAGCAAACTTGAAATGAGTGTACAAATAAAGTGCATAATGATGCATAGATCTTTAATGTAGAATAAGCGCACCTGTATCATTAATTATTAGCAGAAATAAAGAGTTCTGCTAACATGTATCCAGATAATGTTTGGGCCAACATTGTCATGATTCAGTGACATGAGTTCTGCCACAAAAAACATGTTGGATGATTGCACTGATATATACAAAACTGGCTATTTCAGGCTTACAGATTTGATGTCCAGCATCAGCCTTTTGATCATTGCAGGATTAGTTTGACAATTATCTTAAAAAGTAAGATAAGAGGTGTTATCCCTCAACTTAGGTGCTATATTGCAATAGAATAAAAATGATTAATGCTGTCAATGCTATTCTCTGTGCTTTTACAGAGAAGAAATCCTTTTAGTTTAAAAAAATGGTTTCAGCTCAGATTCAGTTTTAATCGTGAAGGCTATTTCAATGGCATGACAAATATCAAGATATCCACCCCAAGGCATTTTCAAACTGAAACCACAGCATTATGGCAATACCAGAAATAAAATCTGTTGTTGTTTTTTTTTAAAAAAAATCTAAGTACACAGAATTTACTCCAGTTCTGACACCTTTTTAATAGAAATCACTTGTTTAGGAAACAAATAGCACTTTTGTAATTTTTTACAATGTTTCTTACCTTGATCTTATTTTAAGTAACACTAGGAAGACCTCAATATCTTTTTTCTTTTTTTAATTTAAAAAAAGTTGTTTTTCCCCAGATACAAAGATTTGCCCTTGCATAAAAAACAGTGCCCAAAACGATGACACACGGACTCACAAAGACTCACTGTATCTCACTGACACTATTACTTCTAATCTATACCATGCAAGGTCCCATCTACCTTTTTATTGGACTGTCAGCCTGAAAAAAAGAGTTTTTCTATTCCTTACATTTGTAACCAAAAGAGAAAGGAACAAAGGAAACAGGCATTTTACCTATTTGGGCAATACATTAGGGACATGTGCTGTGCTGTTTGGGATACTGTTTTTGCTGGACAAATGTACCAAAAAGAGAAAAAAAAATTCTTTTCACTCATGGCCTGCTTTACAAAAACGCAAGCTGATCATGTTAGTCTCCTTCCCTACCTCAGTAAAAGCTTCCTTCTTAATGTAGCAACTAAATCAACAATGCATTTTATTTGCATTTGAATATATTTTCTGAATGCATTAAGAGAGAGAAAGGAGGGGGAGGACAACCCAAAGTTGCCAGTCTAGTAATCTTCAACCTTTTGGATACTTACTGAAAAATCCTTCCTCATCCTTTGTTGTGTTTTCTGTAAAAACAGTTGTAAATACTGCTTACTGGATAAGTTTTTCTCCCCTTCCCCATCCCCTTTTAGGATACTAGGATTTGTTAATTCTTATTTTTGCATTTTTGGTTTAGTAGTATGGACAATTTAGAAACAGGAAAAGCCCACAGGCTCTTTGGATTTGAAGTTTCCCTACCTAAACAAAAACTGGTCTATAGATAAGGTCTGAAACCTGCTCCTCCCTGCTCCCTACCCCCAAATAAAAATAAAAAACAAACCTATAGTGGCTGTGGAGGCTGCTGCAGGCACACTCTGGTGTAAAATATAGAGAGTAAATATCTTATTTAACTTGGCATGGTGCTGGCTAAGAACCTCCAGCTGGCACTATTCATGTAACATGGTCCAAACTTTGCACGTACACACAGAATAAGAAGGATCAATTGGCAAACTTAGTGCCGCCCGGCACGAGCATCTTCGCACTCTTTCTGGAAGTAAAGAGTTTCTTGTATTTTCCAGAAGAAATCCATTTCCTTTTCTAGAGGATCTGTTATGTTCTTCTGCTTTGCTGCCATCTCCTCTGGCTCCTTCTTATTGTGCTCTGTTATTTAGTCTCATTGCCCTTCTTACAGTTCACCATGCAGCTCTGGGAGGGGGAAGATGCTGGGGTGGAGGTGGCAGCTGTCACATTACTGGCGGAGTCCATGCCATTGGAGATGGCTGCTGAACTGCCCTCAGAGTTTATGGATTTGGAAAGGTTGATGCCTTGGATGAGGCGAATTAACTGTTTTACCTTCTCCAGTGAACTGTGCATTTCCTTCTGTTTTGCCAGGATTGTGTTCTTCATTTCCATACATTTCTGAAGTGAATCAGAACATAAATCTTAGTGAGTACACTGCTGAAAAAGCCTGAACTAATACAAAAAAAGAAAGCAAAATGTGAAAGTGGTATGCAGAACTAACTGCATTTAGCTCAAATGGACTTACATTTACAGGAAGATTTTTTTAAAAAACGTTTTTCCTTGTCTGTAGCTCTCTGTACATTTTATTTAATGCTATGTTTATGCTGTACTATAGATAACAATAGAAAAATACTATATTTAGTAATGTGAAATAATCAGTCTCGGATTCTCAAGCAAGTTAAACACTGAATTTTTCCCTTTGAATGACTGAAATTTCTTTCTGTCTATCTGTGGCATATTTCTAATTTACCATATACACACCTTGATCCAACAGGAACAATCTGTGCAAGAAAATAGAATTCTATACAAAAGCTGCAAAAGTGGTATATGATTCATATTTCTATATTATCTCTAATCACTAGATGAATAACAAGTCCATTATAACTATGATAGCTATCTGTTTTGGAGAGAAGAAGTACAATCTAAATTTGGATGGCTAGTGCAAACATATTTTGCAGTATATCTCTAATTTAGAACATAAACTCACAAGTTTACTTCTCACAAGTTTCATAGAAAGGGAAATAACAAAACTGAAAATTTGGGCTGCTAGCAACTGCAAACAGGCACTATGTATATATACTGATTATAATTGCCCATCTTATATACCATAACCCTGGGCATCTCACAGAACTTAAACATTCTAGCTACAGACCATTGGAAGATTTGAAAGATTAGGTACAGACTGTCATGAAGAAAATCTATGTGAATGTTAGAAGTCAACAATGACTTGATGGTACATAACTAATCAATCAATTTAACCAGAGTCTAATCAAGGTTCCTTGTGTGTGAAACCAATGTGTTTTCTTGAAATGGAGTAGACTTCAAGAGATTTTAAAATAATATAGAATATGATTATCTTTGAGCCTATGAAGTTCTTATTAGCTAAATACATATCTTGCCTCTTCTCCAGGAACTCAAGGCAGTTTACATGAGTTTTCCCTTTCATTTATCTCTATAAAAACTCAGTCAGGTAGACTGGGATGAGACCAAAGGACTGGCCAAAAATCACACTGGGATTTTCCATGGTTAATTGCAAACAACTAGCCTTTTGATTTATATATTTAGAAATTAATTCAAATATGATACAGTTTTATTTTAATATGGAGAAAGATTAATATTAATGATCTTACCCAGTGCCAAGATCTAGATGGAAGGCTGCAAGTAAACTTGGCAAGACTAAGTGGCTGTGGGTTTTGTGTACTCCTAGAGCTGATAAATTACCATCTTTAACTTTGGATGAGGTTATGTTGGGAGTACAATATAAAGAATATGGAATAGGTACAAACTCAGGCTGTACCCCAAAATGCCTTTATTGGTTTCAGCATAAGAATCATTTTACAGAAAAAAAAGGTGGGCAAAGCTAAATGGTTAACATATCAAGATTTGCTGATACAAAAATATGGAGAGCTTAAATGAAGTTAAGAGATCAATTTACTGCAGAGGGATTTAGAATGCAATGGTTTTCATATGCACAATCAAGAGACTTAATGTAGATAACAAGTAATTGAAATTGAAAAACATAAAACAGAATTTGAAACTGAATTGTATACAAATAACCAACATGTGTTTGTTGAAATGTATAAACTTAGCAAAGTTTATACATTTCAACAAACATATGTTGGCTATTTGAAAGTTAGAAAGAAAATAAATTAAAAGAGTGCATCATACAGAGCCTGGTGGCGCAGCAGACTAAAGCACTGTTATTAACATCAGCTGCCTGCAATTACTGCAAGTTCAAATCTCACCAGGCTCAAGGTTGACTCAGCCTTCCATCCTTTCTAAGGTAGGTAAAATGAGGACCGGATTGTGGGGGCAATAAGCTGACTTTGTATAAATATACAAAAGTATGAAGGCTATTGCTTAACGCATTGAGGCTATTGCTTAACGCCCCGAGTCTCCGGAGAAGGGCGGCATATAAATCAAACAAACAAACAAACAAAAAAAGTGAGTTACCAAGCACCCAAAATGCGATCAGGGTTGAAATGAGGGGTCCTTGGTGTTCTCTAAGCTTTGATGTTTTCTTGCAGACAAACTAGGTAACATCATCTGTGCTAGTATGGAGTGGGGGTTTGCTGTCATTTATATTGCAGTGACTTGTCCTGTCAGTATTGGTAGGAGTGGTCTTGGTGGTTCTTTGGTTGGGCTGTTTAGTGTTAACTTGTTTGGCAGTTCCTTGATTGGGCGATTGCTCAGAGAGCATCAAGAACCCTTCATCTCTAGATTGATATGGGATATTAAAAAATCATCTTTTCATGATTCTTAGTGAAAAGCAAGAAGTACAAATAAATGATCACCTGGCAATGGTTAATACTTACTGTTATAGAATTGCTGAGTTGTTTCACTTTCTGTTCTAATTGTTCCCTTTCCTGCTTTAAATCTGAACTCCATTTTAGTAATTTCTGTTTTTCCTCTTCTTTTGCTGTAGAAGAGAGATTATTAGTTGTGCTATATAGATGTACTCTCTTATCGATTTTTTTTATTTACCACCAGCATTAAATGACAGTGATTGTGATGCTGCATTATTCCTGATGTTTTAGATGGATTCACTAAAAAATAATCCCACATTGTCCTGCTAATTTGATTACTAGGGTTATCAAATATTTGGTTATTGATTTTATTATTTTTATTTAATAACTGAGTAGAAAAAACATTCTGGTCATTTTTTTTAAAAAAAATCAAACCAAAGATTACTTAACTTACCTGTTTTGTACGCAATATATGAATGAACAATTGCTAAAGTCCCTGGCCATGGAATTGCTTCTTCTTTCTTCAGCATCTGAAAAAAAAGGAGGGTCAACATTTGGCTGACATATTCTACTTCTAGGAAAGATTTAATATAGTCCCTCAAACCATTCTCAATATGTACATTCATAGTTGTCTTCTTAGAATTGTTGTATAAAATTAAACAACTTTAATTTCTTATAGGATTTATTTCTAGGCCTGAGACAAGCAGTTGGATTGGGATGGCCGGAAGTTGAGGTTTCACTAAAGAAAAGAAATGAGCAAGGGTATACGTAAGCACTAAAAGCACCTGGTTGCATAGTGGGTGTAAATTCTGATAAAGAATGCACAATTCATAAAATAAATAAAATAAATGTACTAAAACGATATATATTATTTTGTTTTGAGGAAAATAGAGCAATGGAAGATATAGCCTTGCTGCTATGAAATTGTTAAAGGAGCTTAGATTATTGCCACTGCCTCTAAATAAAGACACTTATTTTAAATACTTGGAATTAGAAAACAGTCACAAAATAACAAAACAGTAACAGGCAGGCAGGAATTGTGTTAATAAACATTAACCCCTAAGTGCCTATGATAGTGCTCTACCAAGGAAGACAGTTTCTCCCCCCCCCCCCAAAATAAGTAAATAAATACAATTGGGAATGTTGGTTAAATTTCTTAATAAAGCATTATTTAGGTGGAAAAAGACATCAACACTCTCCCTAAGCTAGTAATCGTTTCATTTACCACATGCAAAAAAACCTCCTCCACAGACTGGAAAGGCCTTAAAAGTATTAACAGTATGAAATACTCTTTTGTGTTTTACCTCCCACAAAGGAGGCCAGCTAAATCACAGCCTCAGCAATTCCTGTGAATCTACAAATCTTTCCTGCTGTGAATTATAAAAAACCGAACTGGAATGAAAAGGCAACATATCTGATCTTACATTTTCAGTAAAGAGGACGATGACTTTCTGACTCAGACTGCTATTTTAAGTAGCTCAAATACCAAAGGCGCTGGATTTTCAGAAATACAGTAACATTACAATATATAAAAAATGCCTTTTGTCATGGTACTACATCTGACCACTGTCCTCATCACAGCCTGTGGATATTAATTTGGCAGTCATTCAGGGAAGGCTGGCCTTTGTTGCTGTGATACCAGCTTTTGGAAAACTGTCTCCCTAGCCACAGAGTAAGGAATGACCTCACAGCAATTTCATTTTTTCATTTAATACTTGTTTGTGTTTTTAAAATCTATTATTATTTGTTATGTTTATTGAATTTTATACAATTCTGTACATATTTTAACCTGCGTATATTGCCTGGATGTTTACTGCACACAGACACTATTTAAATTTATACATGAATAGCGATGCATTTCTTAAAATGAAGTAGCAAATAGAGAAGGGACACATCTGGATATGAAGACACATCTGGATATTACAGTCACTCTTTATTGATCTTCTTCATCCCATATGATTTATATCTGCTTGCAGGCCCAACTATTTCTCTGCAGGGCAAAGTACCACATGAAAGATTGCCAAAAAAAAAAACCCAACTAAAAAAACAATGTTTGGGTAAATATTGGACATTTTGGTATGTGCATCTCCCATAAATGTCCTTTGTTTTGAGATTAATTGCATGTTTGATTATATAGATTTCCTTAACTGGCTTGAAAATAATGGACTTTCTGACATAAAAATATTAATTTGGGTGGGGGGGGGGAGAAATAGTTATGCATAATGATGCAAAAGATCATTTATAGGTCAAAAAGAAGATTTGGTCAATGTTTCTGACCTTGCCTTTGACAACTAACCACAGTACTTATGACATAACAATGGCAGAAAAATATTCTATAATGTAGAAAACAGAGGCAACCTTATTAACAAATAAGTTAAGAACTGCAAAATTCATTCAATTTAGCAATGCCTACTGATTTGTAGATAAGCTATGCATTATAGGCCAATTCCTCTAACTCTACACAAATCAAATGAAAACTTTTTCTAATCTGTTACAGACAACCTTTTTTGGTGCCTACTCTTTTGTGTGAAACAACAATACCTGGTCTTGACATTTGGGACAAATCCACATGCCCTTAGGAATTGTTTTCAGAGGTGGGTCTAGACAATCCAAGTGATATACACGTGAGCATGTATCACACATAAGTAGCTGGCCACTTTTCCTGCAAACACTGCAAAAATCTTCATGGATATCACCCTATAAAATAGAAAACAGGGAGAAAGGTTTTTTAAAAAAATATTTTCAATTTACATTAAAAATGAAAGTAAAGTTTATGCATGAGAGACTCATACGTATGAAAGAAAACTACCCAAACTTGCTCCATTTTCACCATAAAAATTATTAAGAAAATTTGTAACATCACTTTTTAAGATATACTACTTTTTGTAGTAGACTTGTCAAGCAAGAACATCATTTCTTTTGTTGCTAAGAAAATAAATCTAGCGTCAGGGTGAAATTCCCAATCAACTACAATTTTAAAAGTATTGCGGTAGTAATACATCAATGTAATATTAGTACCCGGATGATACTACTATTAATACTACTACAAAAATATTTTTAAAGAATGAGGGAATATGTACATTTGCATGCTAGAAGTGGGACTACTCAGTTTAAATTAATATGCAAGTTAATTATTTGCCACTGAGTAGGTTCAACCTCTGGTTACTCCATTAATGATCGCCGTCTCAACCTATATATAACACTTGCAGTTCCTCCAAGGACATTCCTAATGTTTCTTTGATTCTGCTCATCCAATATATCAGTTGCCTTCTCCTTCCTCAACCCTCTCTGTTCTTGCGTTATTTCTGACCCAACATCATCTGTTCACATCACATGCCCAAAGTACACTCTGAATGTTTCTGCTTGCTGGTTACTGTAGAGAACAGTCTTTATTTGGTCTGAGAGTGTTTGGCATTGTTGAAAGAACAACTATACCTTTGTTGGTGTTTGCCATTGTTGTATTTATATTAATTCACTAAAATAACACACTACAACATTGGCTTCTGACTTAAAAATATACTGCAGCAAAGAAGTATAAAGAGTATATGGTGATGTCAGTGTAATTCATTTAGAACAGCTTCCCCCAACCTTTTGGGCACCAGGGACCAGATCTGCAGAGAAAGGTTTTTCCGTGGACTAGAGGGGGCATGGTTTCATGTGCTGCCTGCATCCCGTAGATGGGGCTTCGCTTGTTTGCATGGCCTGTTTTTTGGCATGCCGTGAACCAATGGTGGTCCATGGACCAGGGGTTGGGGTCTCCTGATTTAGAGAACTCATTTTATATACTCACACAGGTAATATTTTTGATGGAGGGAAACAAAATGATCAATATCTATTCTAAGTAATATTTTAAGATGAATGAATGTAATCTGAAATAAGACTGTAAAATCTGAATTATTTGAATTATCTCAAATACAACTGTATATAAGTGGCTACAAAACAATGGCAAAAACATAATGGATTGCAATATTGGCTTTACTTATGAGGGTAAATATAATTTAATTCCAATTTTTACCACAGCCTTTCCTGAGAAACGTAGACAATTTAATAATCTAATAAAAGGATATATTAAGTGCTCTGGCTTCACTTACATCAATAGTCTGAAAATCAAATGTTTTCAGTTTCTACTTAAAGTATGGGATTTCCCTTTTCTCTTTTTGGCAGCTCTGCACAACATCCTCCAACTTCTGAAGCAGATCTCAGAAGAGTTTTCAAAGATTGCAAAGGGGAAGGGAATCTATTCCACCTCTAAACTCATTTGCCTGAAGGTACATTCATGAATTCAGTCCAAGGACAGATCTATCAGTTTCTAGTTTAATTAATCTAAGACTTCAGTAAAAAGAGCAACCAAAACACATGTCTATGATAAGTATGAAGCTGCTAGAGTTACTTATTTTGTGTTAACTCCTGGATTTTAATTTTAGCATATTGTACACAGATAAAGATTGAAAGAAGTCAAAATAACAAAATCAGAAGAAGAAAACATATTACTATACAGTATTCTTTTTGATGAGCTGAAGGCAATTCTGACAAGTTGCTAAAACTGAATCCCACTTTCTAAAACGCTTCAAATTTAGAAGTAAATACCGGTAGTAAGATCTGTAAAAATAGCCAATTTTCTGTAAAATATGGCATTCCATAGGAACTTGAATAGTGGTAAATAAGATGATTCACAGCTTGCAAACTGGTTCTGAATTATGTAAGCTATTTCACACTATCCTCAAAACAACAGTAAGCTACCTTTATTATGAGTAATGTATTAAATAATGACAGAGTATCAACCATTTGGGAGATGGGATTACTCCCAAGCACTGGCTAATGCTTAAACTTTCTAATTGCATGAAAATCAATGCTTCACACTCTGGAGGTAATATCATTAATTTCCAGCATGAGTATGTTATCTTGACCTATGAATTATCATGGTCTGGTTCCACAAGCACAATATATCAAATGAGTGATGAATTCCTAGGGCTCAATTTAAGGAAGAAATATTGGGGGTAATAGTTTCAAAGTTTAAAAAACCTCTCGGGGTCATTCCTGATCTCCTCCAATCCCAATTTTAGCCGATTGATCACAATTGAGTCCAAAATTTCCATTGTTAAGCAAGACAGTTGTTATGTGAGTTTTGTCCCATTTTACAACTTTTCTTGCCACATTTGTTAAGTGAATCACTGCAGTTGTTAAATTAGCAACACGGGTGTTAAGTGAATCTGGCTTCCCCTTTGCATGTCAGAAGGTCACAAAAGGTGATCACATGATCTGGGACACTGCAGCCATCTTAAATACATGCCATTTGCCAAGCATTCAAATTTTGATCATGTGATTATGGGGATGCTGCAACAGTCATTAAGTGTGAACAGCAGTAATAAGTTATTTTTTTCAGTGCCATTGTAACTTCGAATAGTCACTAAATGAATGGTTGTACGTCAAGGACTACCTCTATATAAAATCAGTTTCATAAAAATTAAGGGAGGTTGGGCAGGATTCAAATTATAGGGGGATCAGCACTCTTAACTTGTACAGTCATGTGAAAAAAATACATAAACCCACATAAAGTGTTTTTCTTTTCTGATATTAATTTAGGGTTATTATTTTAATCTTCATTCAAATGGTATATAAATGTGATGTAACTCAACCAAAAAAGCTATGAAAATTGATTTTGCATTCGTTTATTTAACAAAAAACTAACAGATGTACCATTTTTTTATGGAAAAAGCAACCTTGGCTTTAATACCTGGTACTGCCCCTTTTGGCAGAAACAACCTGAAGTAGGTGATTCTTTTAACCGTCTACCAGTTTCTAGCATAGACTGGGAAGAACTCCCCCCCTCCCATTTCTCTATGCAGATTTAGGGTCATTGTCATGTTGAAAGGTCCACTTTCAGTTGAGCTTTAATGTTCTGACAAATGATCTCACACTATTTTCAAGTATCAATGAAAAAATTCTAGTGGATTCTATGATGGTGAGCTGCCTAGGTGCTGATATAGCAAAGTTTTAATCACCATGCTTTATGGTTAGTAAGGATGACATGCTATTTTTTGTTTTTGCCAAACATGTCTTTTGATATTTTGGTACTGTGCCAAACAACTTGCTTTTTCTGTCTGGAGCACATTGTTTCAAAAGTCTTTGTCTTTGTCTAAGTGTTCACGAACAAATTTTAGTCTTGCTTGGGGTTCTTTTTGGACAGCAAATATTTCCTCCTGGCACTCCTCCCCAAATGGGACAACTTGCCACAGCCAAATCACTGTGACCAACTCACCACAGCCAAGGACAATTCATTGCAGGACAATTCAACAGATACAAAAGTTAAATTAATTTCAACAGAACAGTGGTCAATAATAATAAAACAAAGAAAATGAATCCAGAAATACAAGTGTTACAATAATTTTGACAAAAACATTCTCACCAATAGTAAAAGTAATTGATTGAAACAATACAGATTTGAATTGTTATGTAGCAAGCTGGCTGTGATGAGTTGTCCGGTGGTGAGTTGGCTGTGGTGAGTTAATTGCAAATTGGCTGTGGTGAGTTGGCCACGGCAAGTTGTTTTAGACTCCACCCATCCCATATAGATCAATTGTGAGCAGCTTCTCCATAATGGTAGACCCATGCATTTTGACACCAATAGTGGCAAGAACAACGAGTAGGCCACGTGACAAAATTCTGGAGTAAGTAATTGAAGAGTAATGAAACCTGATTAAAGATACAAATCCAGAACTTTCAGTTCTAAGTTATTATCATAAGAACAAATGTTGTTCCTATGAATGTTAATTATATATTATCAGTAAAGGGTTAGAACAATTTTTACACAACAAATCTGTATCAAACAGAGGACTGATTTTACAGAGAGCGTTCTGTACCACTGAAGGCTAAAGTAAGGGAGCAAAATCCATTGTCCAGGAATCTGTAAAACACAAGATGCTGCCAAAAGCCATTGAAACGGTTTGCCTGCATATTGATTTGGTGAAGCCTGAGGAATTAATTCATCCCATTCCTAATGATTAATACTTATCATGAGTTCTTATGATCTGAATATGACAGGACACCAAAAAAAACTTGATTTCCTTCCTGCCACTCCTTTGCTAAAACATACACACAACTGCATCAATCTCTCTGTGCATCTGAAAAGATGAATGGAGGGAAAATATCCTAGAGATACTAGGACACTATAGAATCCATCTATGCTAGGAAAAATGGCAAGGAGAGGGGAAATATCAGTAATGCAGAGTCCAGGAGTGAACATTTTGGGGCAATTTAAAGTACTTCTTAAAAAAATGAATTCTGAAGTTTCTGCACAATAGTTTGCTTCAAACTATGTATAATTCAGCAAGAATTACTTACGTCCATGGAGCTGGGGCTGGGTAAGGATACAGGCTGAACAGTTGCGGGGAAAGTAAATGTCTCTGTCTTTTCATTTTCAGGGGAATCAGGATGACTGGACAGAGGGGATGTGGGGGTGAGAGCCCCAAATCCCAGCACAGTGTTGTATTTAGGTGGACGACCTACATATTAACAGAAGGAAACAAAAAGGGGAGGAAAATAATCTTACATACCTTTGGACATTGCTCCTCATTGGCTAGCATGAAAAAGGAAGCGATGAGGTACAGAGAGGTAGTTAGTATAATAGTCACAAGTGAAAGGAAGCCAAGATTCTCACATTAATTTTAAGACATTTACAAGAATAATTTCAAAAAGGATAATATGAGAAAAAACCTTGCAGTTTCTCAGGTTGCTACTCCTAACAATGGTATGTCATTTCAGTCTTAATGTTTTGAGTCGTTCCCTCCATGTTAAGCCCCCAATTGACTTCTACCAAAAGTTGCCATGATCCATACCCCTTCGATTGAATGAAATATCTTCATAATCCTTAAAACAGTATCTAGTAATACTTCATTAATTTTCTAAGTCTCATTTCCTCTTTTTCTTAGAAATCTGAAAAACTGAGGTATCATTTGGAGGCTATCCATAACATTTTCATTTAGGCAAGAATATTTATATTAGATTTGGAAAATATATTTTTTTATTAAGGAATATTTTAAAAAATTATAAAGCATTCTTCATCTAGACCAATCATAAATGTAAAGAGCACTTTTGTTATTTATAAAATAATTTTGACATAAAATTGCCTAGTAAAATAAACTATTATTCTAAAGTGAACTATTATTCTAATTGAAAATATAACCCTATAGTATTTTACTAATAGTTTTCTGATGACTGATAAACAAAATTACAAACAAGAGGGAAACATGGAATTAAGCATTCATAGGTAACTTGTTTTAATTAAGCTGTACCAAACAGGTAAAGAGTGATAGAAACAAATATAAAAGTTTCTTTTATGTAACCAAGAACAAAATGCCAAAAGCAATGGGAAAAAAATATCAAATCCACTTTAGTTATAATGACATATTTTGGAAAAGAAAAAAACTTGCACAGTGGAACCTGCAATTGACTGTTAAGCCTTTTAATCACTTATATTTATATATACAGTAGATTCAAGTACACTATTAGAAGAACAATATCTAAAGTTCATCAATAGACATTTTAATTACAAAGTATTGCTTTAAAATTACAGCTTGCATTTCAAGTTATCAACTTTATTTTTAAACAAGCTCAGCACCAAGGGAATTATTAAAAAGCATTAACAGAATCAAGGCCAGATATTATATAATGCTCACTCAGCTCTATTGTGCAACTAATCAGCAGTATTTTATATCCAAAACAAAATCTAAATGCTTGAAGAAGCTTTTTCAGGTTTATTATCAAGAAAATATTTTAAGAAGTATATAATGTAAACAACCTGGGCTGGTCCATCCACACATGCTCCATGTGACTAAGCCATCTAACTGCAAATGGTTGAAGAGGCACACCTTCTTTTTACAAATTCAAATTGGGAATGAGAATAACAAATCTCTGGAAGGTGGCTACTTCCATGTTCACTCTTAAATCCTGTATTGAACCTGCCTAACACCTGAAATCGTCTTTTTTTAAAAAAGTTATTTTTCTGAGTTTGGGGTTTTAACTGTCAGAATGGGAGTAGTTTGTCTCATAGAGGAAAGGTATTAAAAAAAAATCTGCCAACACTGAAATGCTATTGTACAAATTTATAATAATCCCTGTACTTGAAATACTGTGTATAGTTCTGGTTACTGTATTTGAAAAAGGTTATAATAAAAGTGGGGAAAATACAGAAAAGGACAACTAAAATGATCAAGATGCTCAAGCACTATTCTTCTTTAAAAAAGGTATAATATTTCAAAAATTTTAGCTCAGAAAAAAGTACCTAAGGAGTGATAAGACCGAGATGCATACAATCATGCTTGATTTAGAAAAATAAGGCATTTCTCTCTTTCTCTCAAAACTTGAAAACTTTTAGGCTTAAGGCACCAGAACTTGGAGTCTTCCGGTTGATGTCGCAGCGAGATTGGACACAAGGAGCGGGTCTCCGCGCTCCCGTGCCAAGTTCTTACCATTGGTGGGCTCCAAAAGGAGCCAAATCCGCCATGTAGGGGCGGTAAAGCAAAGAGGGGCGCCCTGGGAGACCATGGAGAGTCACAACTCTCCTGCTGGACCCCGGGTTTTTTTTCCCTCTCAGCCAACACAAGGAGAAGAGGCAGTCTAAAGATGGCTGCCATGAAGTTGGGGCAGCTGAAAAACACCTAAGACTGGTGCTGGAGTGGAGTTAGTGAACAGTGTCTAGAACTGGGTGAGAGGATTCTTTCTTAATTAAAACCTAACCCAAAAGGAAATAATCCAGGAAAAGAGAGGCTCACAACTATTTGCAAAAGCAGTGATTAAGCACTTTGAGAAGAATTCAGAATTAAAAGAATTAAGAGAAAAGCAAAAAAAAAAAAATCAAAAACCTGTTAAAAATACAGATAATTGGACTTTTAATGACAATAGCAATAGCACTTAGAGTTATATACTGCTTCACAGTACTTTTTACAGCCCTAAGCGGTTTACAGAGTCAGCCCCCAACAATCTGGGTTCTCATTTTACTGATCTCAGAAGGATAGAAGTCTGAGTCAACCTTGAGCCGGTGGGACCTGAACTGCCGAACTGCTGGCAATCAGCAGTCAGCAGATATAGCCTGCAGTACTGCACTCTAATCACTGTGCCACCACAGCTCTGAGTAGGCGTTGTTCTGGAAAGGCATTTTAAAAATACTGGAACTATTTATCTAAAAAACTAACTTTGTTTCTATATTTTGACTTATTAAACTGGTTAACATTGAAATCTAAAATGAGAGTGTCATCTGCTGATGAAAGAAAAGTATAACATATTCTTAAATTCTGACAAGGATATGTTTTATGCACCTACGTCGTGATTATTGGAGATTTAAATATAAGAATAAGAAATATTTTTTTAAATTAAAGAGACCCCTGAATGCTATGATACAAGATTGAACACATAGAGGATTTAGGAGATTCTGGAAAGCCTTTAGGATTATCTAAAGGAACAGACTGATTAACTATGGAATACAAAAATTGTGAACTTTGAATTCTTTTTGGGGAGTGACTTTAGGCTTGAATATATGGTTTTTGGATTACTGGACAAGAGCGTGACTTATTAAAACAAGACAAGATGCTACATCAGGAGGAAATGAGTGGAATTTGGGAAGAAATGGCATCAGAGTTTCAAACCATCAAGGACATTCTGATAAGAAACCACAAGGAGATTAAGAATTTAATACATGGCATGGATGAAAAACTGGGAAATATTATACAAAGGACAATGAGTAATCACGATGCCCAGGAAAAAGAGGAGCCAATTGAAAGAGCAGATGAAAAAGCAGAACAGATGAACCAGCAAACAAAACAAGACGACAAAAAGGGGACAATAACAAAACAACAATGACTGATGAAATGAACCAAGGGGAAAACATTTTAAGAGATTTAAAAACGGAAACGGGGATTCAGAAAGACATTTTTGAAAGGGAAACAGGGGCAGGGGTGGATATTTTGGAAGCCAGACAATGGAAAAGGGCAGAGATGGGAAAAATGTTTAAAATGAATAGTCAGGACATAGATGCAGATAGGGATAAAGGTCCAAGAGAGAAATATGGGAAGTTAAAAAAACGAACAATTAAAATGGGCAAGAGATGACAGAAAGAATTTGTTCTTAAATATAATGGTAGCATGATTAAACATTAGTATAGGGATAGAAATAAGAGAGAGGGAGAATATTAGTATACACATTTTTATACAGTAAGATAAAAGTAATAATAAGAGGGAAGATTAGAAATTGAATGTTGGTATTGTTATGTATGTTTAAACAATATTGTATTGGCATTGGAATAACATATTGAAACATTGAACTATTAAATAATGAAAGTTTATAATCTAATACAAATGTGTATAAACACTAGAACTACATAAGCTTGAGGAATGTAACAAATATGATTAATAGAACTATTTTTATTTGTACTAAAATGTATGATAACTAGATGCTACACTGTTCATGCATTGATATGGATATATTGTAAAATAAAATAAAAAACCTAGGAAAAAAAAGACACCAGAACTTGATTCCACTTTCTGTTCAGCAGGATTACATTTCATCATTCATCTCAATTTTCATTTTTCTTTATGGCCATATGAGAATTTATTCACCAAATTATTCCATTATTGGCCATTTTCATACATCCTCCCTGACCTTGTTTTCTGTGGTTCCTTCTCTCTCTCTCTCTCTCTCTCTCTCTCTCTCTCTCTCTCTCTCTCTCCTCCCTCTCCCTCTCTCTCTCTTCTTTTTTTTTTTTTTCCCTAGAGCCTTTATTTCTTCTTTGGGTCAATGCCATTACTACTTTTTGCCTTTATTAAGAATTATAACCTTGGCTCTGACTAGAATTGTTCTAATGCACACGTTATGTCATATGTATGTAATTATTTGTAACAAGGAAACAAAAGTACTGTCCTTCATAGAGCATGCAAGCTTAATTTAATTTTTTTCAGTGTTGTATGAATTTTTTAAAATGACTCATTAGTATTTATGTTTGTGCTGTTAAGTAGTATATCAAGGTTTAGCAAATATCTGTAGTATTTATATTTTTTTCCTATGCTGGATATTTTGACTAAACAAGAGTTTGTAGGAAATATTGTTGCAATTCCTAGAGGGCAGCTAATGAAGCTAACATAAAGGAAATTAAAAATAGACAAAAAAGTATTTCTTTATATAGTGCAAAATTAATCTGAGGAATTCATTATCAAAATATACAGTTATGGATGCTAACTTGGATAGTGTGAAAACAACTACTGTATTCATTTTGAAAATTCTACACTACATCTGTGTAGGGTAAAGGATACCTCCAAATATTAATTGAAAATGAACAGCAGGAGAGGGGAATGTCTCCATATTTTTTATGTGACTACATGGAAGCATATGGTTGGCCATTGTGAGAAACAAAATCCTAGATTATGAGGGGACTTGGCTGAAACCAGAGCAGCTATTTTTCTGTTTGTATGATTATTTAACATTTTTGATTCATGTATCATCCCTTCTCTTAATTAGAAATTTACCTCGTTTACGTGTCCCAGGATGCATTGTGCTGTTCAGGTATGTGACCGCACTCTTCTTGCGCTTTGTAAAAGATAGGAACAAAGTAATTATTAAAACTTGTTAACTGAAATCTATAGAATCACCGATGTATATCCATATATAACATAAACAAACATGCTTTACGAATGCATTCATCATTGTATTAACTAGAACACCTACTCCAGAGAAGATGGACTTTCGTGAAAACACTGACAGAACATAATAGACCTATTTCCACTAGCAACAAGAGAATGATTTGATGCTAAATCTTCATCATTCAACAACTAGTCTATAACTTCTAGAAATATATCAGAGCAAACCCAACTTAGTTTTCTAGTGTCTTTGAGGGTGGGTATAGTTGAACTATTAGGCAATGCCAGTAGCAAATGCTGCGGGTCATGGAGTGGCAACTGAGTACTGGAAAGCAGAGCAACCCAAAACCACCCTACTTCTCTTAGATGCAGTAAGGACAGCCATCATTCATAGAAGTCATTTGCTAAACATCGAACTGGGAAGGGAAGTAATTTTAACCTTCTTTTTAGGCTGGTTTGGCCATCCCATGTCCGGATAGTGGACATGAGAGCATCAAAGCAAGATTTTATTTCTAATGTATAAATAAGAGATTGCTACCTCAGGCTCAAAAACAGCTCCACTGTAAACTGGATTTGCTGTGGTTCTTCGTTTTCTTTCTTGTCTTTTACTTTGTATTTCTTGAGGAAAGAAATAATTTGGTTAGAAAATAAAAGCATTTCCAAGCACAAAGATTTTGTTTTAGAATCTGAGAAACCAGGAGTCAGAATCTATCATTTCTGATAATCCTTGCACAAAAATAATCCTAAAGAAACAGCGGTATTACATAAAAATAGATTAAAAATGCATCAGTACATGACACCAATTCAACTTAAACGATTACAGCCTACATCTTCAAAAAATCTAACTTTATATTTTTATAACTAATGAATCAAGCGAAATTTTCAACTGATAATTAGTACAAGATTCATTATAGTATATGAATTTTTACCATGAATATTGCAAATTGATAACAAAAAGCATTAAAGTCAAAATCAACAGCTGCAGAGAAGTGTAAAGACTTATTTAGTTGCTCAATGTATATTGCAACTCTTTTCCATGCAGTAAGTCCGTGATAGGTTACAAATATACAAGGATTATTTTTTTAAAAATTGCAAACACGTTAATAGAAAAATGCATCAAAATATATGTAAACATCTCATTCACTGTCATTTAGGAGTAAATGAAATTATTTGTTGAGGTATTTCAACAAGCTTTAAATTAAAGGAAGCCCTTTTATCAAACATACTGTGTTTCCCCAAAAATAAGACCCTGTCTTATATTTTTTTGAACCCTGAAATAAACTACTGGGTTTATTATCAGGGGATGTCTTATTTGGGGGGAAACAGGGTATCCAAAATCTGTTTACAATTTAGGTCCACTTATTAAATCAGGTTTTTTTTTTCCAAATATATGTTGCAGGCCAAAAGATAATAACTTTCTATTTTGAACTATATGAGAACATACACTTCATCATGTTTGAGATTTTCTTAAAATATGTTAAGCACATAGTTCTTTCTGGTAGCATAAAACTTTATTTTGTTCACATTAAATCCAAAGCATTTCTTTGAAAATAAACTCAATAAAGTGAAATGAAACTTTTTCCTATTAATGGGTCTTGGTGTTTTATTGATTAAAAAAACAATGAAAAACCTTAATTTTCTTTTTACCTTCCAGATGATCATGCGTAACAAGTCCAAGAGAAACCATAAAGGCAAGTTTCTGAATTAAGAGAAACAAAATTGAAATCACACAGTATTATAGAAAATTAAATTAGCTGATAATAGTCATTACTTAATACAAATGACTCAACAATATGCATCAACTCTTAAGAAATTTTGGGACTCTGCATTTTTGGTTGAGTTGGTTTTTCAAGATAGGTCTGGACAATTAAAATGCCATCTTCAGTCTTTGCTTCTAATAATGAATTTGATCCTATCAGCTTTCAGTAATACCAATTAAATCATATTCTTCCTGCATTAAGCTTTCTAGTTATTCTAACTTGTGTCCCACACTTTGTGTATTGGGTAATGATGCTGGAACACTTGGTCATACAATTTGATCTATTCCTTCTGGTATTTACATGCTCATTGTTGATACCACTACATTCTGCACTTCCTTACCGGCATCATACTATTTTCAATTATGTCCTCTCCTTCCCTATAGGATTCAGTCCTCCTGACCAAGGTCTCTTCCAAACTTATCCTCCCAGTTCTCATAACATGCAGCCTACCTCTTGCATTCCAGTATCAAAGAAACAAAAGCATTCTTGTTGGTACCTAATCAGTATACCTAATTGTTCCTTTGGAGAATTCTCTTTTTAAACTATGTCCTTTTATAGGAAAGAAGGAAGGGAACACAAACTGAGCCCCAAGTAACTTTGTCTTCCTATCCAGTGCTTCTTAGTCCTTGCAATGATTTCAAGATAGTATTTGGCTATGTATTTGTTCCCATATGGATCAGAAGGGAGGGATATTTATCAATGGGTTGGGAAGCTTTTTGTCACATTCCAAATGTGTGCCCAGAAAAGCATCATACTCCTCTTGACTGGCTGGTTAACAGGACACCACCATCATTTGTTTCCTGCTCCCAGGGAAGAGGATGGCATCCTTTCTTTTGCAGAACCTGTGGCACCCCCTTCTTCAGTTCCTCAGATTTATGGCAGCTGCTTTTCTTTTGATACAGAAATATAATAAACAGTGAGATTCTGGAATCTATTCTCCAACTTTCAATTTTAAAAGCCAGATTGCTTTCCTCCATCTCTCCAATCCTCTCATTTTGCTTTCTCTGTTTTCCAGGGAGCTTCTTAATTCAGCTATCTTTCCACAAGCACTTCCTGTGACCTATTTATGAATTCCCTATCTCCCCTGATAAGCCAGGGAATGAAAATTTTATCTATAGTTCTTTCAACCATTCTTCCAGGATGGTAATCTTTTTGCATTTGTAGCACTAGAGCTCTTGCCTTCAGCAAAGAAAACAAATATGGCACATCTCATACTGATCACAACAGTAATTTTCTGCCTTTGTGTTCCTCTGATGAAAGAAAGAATGAACAACACACACATAAAGCCTCCTCCTTGGTTCCTATACAGGAATTCCCCCACCAATCTACTGTCTGCCTGTTGCTGGGGAGCTGGCTTCCCCACAAGCTTCTGTACAACTAGATCAACAGCAAGAAATGTCCAATCATGTATAATAAGCAATCATCAGCCCAATGGACTATCAGAAAAACAGTCAGCAGAAGTCCCAAAGTGCTTTCAGAAGTCCAGTTGCCTTTTGAAAAGCAGCTCTGAAACTGCCATGTCTTGGAAGATTGAGAATTTCCATAGACAGTCAGCAGATGCAATCAATCACCAGTCTTTATCTTCCCTGGCTTTTTCTCTTTTATTCTGTCTCTCCTGCCTCTTCCCTATTCTTAGTCAAACTTAAATAGGCAAGCTCCTATTTATTTACTCAGTAAACTCACTCTCTAGGGACCTGGCTTCCTTACATGTCATCTGAAGCTGCCCCAAATTACTCTCCGTAAAATATGTTACAATTCTAATTATAGTGTATTTTACATCCATCTTGGGAATAAAGCAAACAGTAACACATTTCCCCCAGTTTATCCTAAGAAAAACTGGGATAAAATGATATATTTAAAACAGCGGAAAATAATTTCAAAAATTAGAGTTCATATAAATGACAATGCTTTTTTTTTTATTAATCAAAACTGTCACCATCAGAAATGTGTAGGAATTAATGCCAGAGTAGCATACTATATAGTTTTAAAATGTTGGGTTTGAATGTGGTTATTTGAATCTTTGTGGTATTAAGTCCCTAATAAAAGACATTCAAAATAACCTCATGTAATTCCTGACAAAGCAGGAACAGAATGTCATACATAGCCACATTGTTAATAGATTATTTTAAAGGTACCTTTTTAAAAGTATTCTTTTAAAGACTTCAAATATATGTTTGCTTCTTTATTTGTTAAATGCATAATCCATCTTCCTTTCAGGAACTCAAAATAATATACATAGTTCTTCCTTCTCCAATATTCCCCATGATAATCCTGTGAGGTAAACTAGACCAGATAATTACTAGGTCAAACTCAGTGAGACTCTGTCCCTGAGGGGGATAAGTAGCACCTGTTTTACCCACTGTGTTGTGAAGTATATGCCTGGCAATTTTTCCTCACTCTCTTAACCAGGGATACTGAGATACAATTGAATGATGCCATTTCCAGCTTTCCATGATGACTGTGGACTGACTATGGGACTCTGCATTACTGACCCCGAACATACAGTAGAACACCACTGATTTTTCAGCCCTTTGATGTGATAGTTAAATAACATTTAGAAAAGCCAATCATCATGGGTAGGTCATCTTTCTGGCAACTACCCTCCCTTGCAGGGTTAGATATCTTATTAAAACAGTCCATTCCAAAAGATTTATGAAATTTGAGGAATTCCTCAAAATTCTGGGGAAGTTTCTAGCAGTTTGGGATTGGTCATCATCTCAAAGGTCTTCATATAACTGTGAAACAAATTTAAAAAAACACATCTCATCAACATTTCAAACATGAGTCTAAGGCTATGGCAATTAAAGGACAGTTCAAGCCAGGTGAAAAATTGGCTGAAACAAATTGATAGAAGTTGTGCAGGGAATTTGTAGTAGAGCATGGCCGTAACTATTAAATAGTGGTGAAAATAGTAAATAAAATTTATTTTATTAAGTCCATCATGTCCTTAATAACTATCCACTGTTCCCCACCCCACCTCCAACTACAATAAAGCTTAATGTCATCTCTTGTAACTCACAGAAGACCTGAGTAACACATTGGCTAGATATTTTAAGAATTGACTCTTTATACTAATAAAGAGTTAATTCAAAGACTCAGAGTGCACACATTACTTCAACCCACATTGACATCTGGTGAATTAGTATCTTTCACAAGAAAATTTTACAATATTTTTTCCCAACAATTGTGACATGATATACCCCAAATTATTCACAAAATTCAAGGATTTTTTGAAATACAATTTATCAAAAAAAAAAAAAATGATAATTTTTAATTGATTGGCATTTTAAAACTTTAACTCCCTTGTTGAAACTTTAATAATACTATTAAGAATATTCCCCCACCATGGAACTGTCAGAGGCATGTCCAACACATATTTTTTTAACATGTCTTCTAATATACTGCATATCCAATCTAGAAAAATAGTTAACTACTTTTGAGATTTGCTGAGTTGTCCCATACAAATATCTAGTTGGAATTAATACAGAGACATCTCTCTTAAATTTGTAATCTAATCTTGAAATTAAATTTATTCTTCACCACATTTATTCTTCCCTATAAATTCACAAGTATTTTCAACTTTCTGTTAGTATTACTGTTAATCTGAATTATACCGTCAATTGTATTAACATATACCTCAAAGGCATTACGGAAAAATTATTCCCAGATATTTAAGTGATTTCAGACAATAAACAAAACCCAAGTTTTTGCATATTAGCAAATGGCAATATATTAGATTACTTTTCAGAAAATAATATTTTAACTATTGGTACCTGTGGGTTTTCTTCTCGTTTTGGCTTGGGAGGTGCAGGAGAGGTAACAGTATGAATTTCTGTTGGTTTCTCCTCTGTTTCTACTTGGGGCTTGACTGTCTGAAATAGAAATAACTGAATATATAATCCTTGATTTAGCATAAAATAAAACAAAAAAAGGCAATGCCTTTTATTAACCAGAATGGCAACAATTATGAAAACTCTTAATTACGTGAAAATATCCCAAATAATACTTAGTTTTTCAGAAGACCATTCCCCCCCTCTTCAAACTCCAACACTTAAGTAAAAGACCTGGGAAGCAGAACTAAAGATGAGTTGGTATTTTAAAGAATGATCTCCCTGAAAAGCTTGCTTAGACACCATTTTGTTAGGAACAGGCACTCTGCACTTCTCTTTGTGCTTTAGTATTAACATGAAATGTGCCTGAAAATTAGTTCAGAGTGGATTTTCCTGAAGTATAGTAGTATATGGCAGAATCCTTTGCATCATAAGTTCCTCCACAATGACACAATAATCACTTTATGACATGGATGTGAAGTCATAAAATATTACCAATTTGTTCCAAGGTGACAAAGATAATTTCAGTACGCTATATGAGCAGTATATGGATATGGATTGGTTTGTATTTAATAGTAAGCCACATTGTGGTTTGTCCCTTTTTGGTTTAATACGCCATATAAACTAATGTGCTATAGATTTTTCAATAAAACATAATTAAAATCTGGTTTATGGTTATGGTGAATATTGGCTATGTCTGAAACATTTGTTTGAACTGTAGTTTATTCTAATGGTTTAGTCTGGCATGACTGTGAAACTACATTGGAAACATTTGGTGCTATTTACTGAATAAGTCAATCATAGTTAAAGATATTAAAAATGCAAGTTTCAAGTCTCAGCACTAATAATGGTTCTTTGTTAGTTCAAATTGGAAGGAAACACTAGCCCTTCCCTTCTGCGCAAACCAGAGTACTAATTTGGTATATGCTGATTTTGTGTTCATATTTTACTGTGAATTAATGCACATATATGTTGCATCTTCCTAAAAGAGATAAAAAGTGGATCATTTTCCCCATACATCAATGAAAAAATTTGTCAAGCTTAAAAGCAACTTTTGAGAATTCAAATTAACAGGCTTCAAAATCAGCTTTAAAAAGATGTGTTGCCAGGAAAATGATGACTACTTCTGTTATGTTAGGGCAATGTTCTTTCAACTATCCAGGTTGCAAAGTATTAAACACCTTTGTGTAACCAATGATAAATTAAAGGTTGTTGCAAAATTGCTATCTCATTTTGAAGTCAGATTAATTAGAAATGTTAGCAAAATAATGGAAACATATTTTTGCTGAAAATGAAAATTGTATACTTGGGAAAAACAAAGCAAGCAAATGATAATAGCTCTAATGGACAGACCGACCAAATAACATTCCTCTAGCTGTACCTGCTTCTCAACATTTGGTTTGCTGATCTGTAGAGTCTGAGGTCCAGCAAGCCTGGCACCTGGGGCTGCTATAACAATGCTGGTGAGTTGTGCCATTGGAAAAGTTTTGGCTATGGTTGCTGTTTGCCCATTCACAACACGAACTGGGTGTATGGAATTCTGTGTAGAGGGTAAGGAGGTGGGGGTGAACTTTGTGGTCAACATCACAGGCCTCTGAATAAGCTGAGGAGCAGCAAGCATAGGAGGAGGTGGAGCTGGGGCTATAGGTATGTTATTCTGGGCAACTGGTTTTGGTCGAACCTAGAGAGAGAGAGAGACAGAGATATCAGACAATTTCCTACAAACATGACTTAGCAGACTACAGTATTTGTATTACATTGAGATACACATCAGCACAAAGCTACTTAATTTGAAATCTGTCTCAAACTTGGTTGATTCAAATATAATGGCTGTAAATGGTACCAAAAACTGTTCCTTGTCTCTGCATCAGGAATCTTCACATACTTTTTATTCAGACTAAAGGGATAATATTACTTTATAAATTAGCTTGTAAAAAAAAATTAGAGTGGTCGTGTGATTTTTCAAGTCCTGATGTGGTAGCATAGAATATATTGAATTTCCAATGCTGTATTCTTTATGAATATTAACAGTAAGAGGAATTATCTATGCAAAATAAATATAAATTAAATGCAGCTGCATTTATATTAACCCTACATCTCTGGATTAATTGAGAGAATTTATAAATTATTATTTTAAATGCTGAATCTAACATATTAGGATTTTTTTTTATATAATCTTGACTTTATGCTTCAGAGATGGAAAACTGGTTCTCTAAAAAGAAGGGAATGGAGCTGAAGGTGACAAATATAACATCACTGAGGTATAAGAATCATTTAATGAAAGAAACAGTATTAGACATCCAAAGCACTGCATATAAGTTGTTATACATATGGCTACCAATTGTGGGATGCAAAATTCAGGACAACCATTACATTGCATCAAAACAATAAGAAAACTCTAGCTTTCTGCTGCAATCTCATGTTCATCTAGATTTCTATATTACCCTTGCACATCTGCCTTCAATAGTTGGAGAATTTATTTCAGAAAATTATTTGCTCAACCAATCTGCCCATGACAAATTGATCCTTTCTAGAAAACAGTAAAAGCAAATTGCACTAATTAAACTACAAACAAACTCATCACAGTGGCAACAACTAGGTGGTGAAGACTTTATTGGTATACATTAGTATAATGAAAAGAAACAAAATTAAAAGCTCATAATAAATACAGAGAAGCATCTGGGTGCAATTGGGTACAGCCCAGCAACCAAAAGTTAATCCCATTCATAGTCTCAGCTAACTTCCTGATTTCCAAGCCTGGGAGAACCGCCAGATCTTAAGGGGTTTTTGAATGCCAGCAAGGTTAGGGACAAAGTGATCTTGGGTGGGAAGGATAGGTTCTGAGCCAGAAAAGGCTATGTTCTGGTCCCACTACATGACATTTTAATTGACAAGGCCTGAAGCATACCTCTCTTGCCAGACCTGATGAAGTGTGTAGAAACAATTGGAACAAAACACTCCCATAAAATGGCAAAAATGGAGCTTTAATATGAAAAGGAACTCATTGGGCAGAATTTATTGCTGGCTACCATGTCTGGACTACAAGAATCCAACTCAACAATAGATTGTACCGGTAGCTACAATGCCAACTCACTGCTGTCATCCAACAATCTGAATGGCACTCCTGGTCATTCAGATTCTTGCAATCTGGATTTGACAGCCCTAATTCTTATTAAATGTGTGAAATATCTAATGTTCTCTTTTTAAAACCTCAAATCAAAGTTATATCTGAGTTGTACACAGTTTGGTTAGTTGCCATCTCTTCTGAACAGACTCACCTGTGGAAGAAAATTTGGACGAGGAGTAAGTCTGGGAGGAGGGATGAACTGTGGCACTTTGATAGGCTGAGGAGCTGTAGCTTGAACCTGCTAAACAACAGGAGTGAGCTCAGGTGGCGATGAAACTAAAGCAGCTTTAAGCAAAGTATAGGTACGATGAATTATTTTAAAGTTATATAATGGTAGCCAATCTTTCCACCATAAACTGATTCTGAAGAATGAAACTGTCTTTTTTACTTAGGAAGTATAAAACTAGCCTTTTTGCTTGTCTCATAAACACGTAAACTTATGTTATCATTGTAAGACTGTACCACTCATCTGAATCTTTTGAATTTTTATACATTACAGGTTGCTCTACAATTATTAGAATATAATATCAGTCTTGTTACCCATTCAAATGGTATTTCACAAGACGTTTAACTACATTAAGAACATAAGTATTCATATTCAAAGTATCCCAAACCACTGCTTTGCACAATGAGCTATTTTCTTTATTATCCAGGAACACATAGGAAATAATTTATTATTAGAATACTAAGGTCATAAGTAGATTTACTTACAGCTGCATTTCTGGATTAATTCTCAAATGTTAACATTCAGATGGCTCATATATTTAACAGTGTACTGATAATCACTGTTATATTTCTAATCCAAATTGTATTTGTTTAAATAGATGATTTCACATTCAAAATTAAATTTTACCTTTTAATAGGTTCCAACTATTTGACATTTTGTCAACTGATCCTTGATCATAATAGTGCTTGTAATTGTTATAGAGTGAAAAAATGCTGGCAAGAACTCATTGTGCAAGGTACCATTTTATGGACCCAATGGGAGTAATATTTAATGAAGTTAAACAAGTCCTGATGGTTTATTTTTTTCACAAGCAACGAAATTGAAAAAAGTAAACTATGTCAGAAGTTATATCATTCAAATAAAGAGTCCCCAAGCATAAACTTTTACAATTAAGATTAAGGAATCTGTGTCCTTTCAGCAAAGAGATTAAGAATCATACAGAAACCATTTAACATCTTATTATTGGAACATATGTTAAGGACACATAATTGTGTAGTACTGTAACAATATTAATCAGCATTGGAATAGTAATTAAAATTGAAAATTTCTAAAATAAGTGTGTTATCTAATTGTAATTTAAGCAAAGCATCAGAATATAAAATATATTCTCAAAGTATATAAATATTACACTCTGTTCTCTAGTATACATAACTTCATATTATATTTATTATGAAAAGTGCTAAGCTACCCAGCTTGCTTACCAATGTGACTGTATTTTTTGCCACTATTTGTACTGCCTCTGTTCCTGGACCGGTGACTTTATTTGTTGTCTGGAGGTTGACAGGCGTGTTCTGTGCATCAGTGCTAAGGACAGTTTTCTGGCTGCTGTTGATGGCAGTCACCATGGCAATTGTAGGTCTTTGACCCACAACAGAGGCAGGCATGGTTGCTGTTGCTTTCAGAACAAGAGGTAGTGTCTTAGTGGTGATCATAGAAGCTGTAGTTACAGTTTTCTAAGAGAAACAGAAAACACATTTTTTCTGGAAGACTGCACCACCCACTGAGAAAAAAAATATTATTGAGAACTGTGAGGAAATATAAGCAATACAGTACAATGGGGAAATTATGGAAAATTTAAACACTGTTATCCTTCTCCTGGAATCAATACATTTATTAATACTTGTAGCAAATCTCATATACACATGACAACTAATCATACAGAAATACTAGGTCATGATTTGATCAGAGTTGATGAAATATGCACAACAGTAATCAAGTTTCTGTATGCATCCTTCAATGTTTGCCTTTTAGCTCTTTGGAATAGGTCCTTCCCATATCTCTAGACTTTTGGAAAGGCGTGTCTTTTCTTAACCATTTATATTAGTAATATCCAGAATGTTCAGTGCACAAGCTATCCTGTACATGGAACAGGTAGAACTGGGTGGTCCATGTTTGGAACATAACATAGATATTTTATCCAGACCTGGACCCAGAACTTATGTGTTCCAGACATAGGGCCTCTAGAATAAGAGACAAAATGGAAAAATAAAGCCATCAGTGTGTGTAGCTAAGCAGAGATAAAGATAAGGAAGGTGATGGGAACATCCAGAGAGAGTTGGATAGCTGGGCTAGTTGAGTATCCCATTCTTGAATTTAAGTTTGGCAATGACAGGTACAGGGAAAGAGGAAATGGGAAGGCCAAGTGAGCGACAAATGGCTCAGTCATATAGGATGACAGAAGCTGCAGGGACGGAAAGCTATGGGAGAAGGAGCAAAAAGTGGAATGGACCAGTCACTTATGCTGTGCTCAAATATAAAATGGTAGCAGGGAGATATGCTGTGAAAATCCCTGGGCAAACTAGTACCTAGGCCATGAGGAGAAAGGAAGAGAGGGGTGAGCTGTGTCAGTCTTGCTCTATTCCTAGAACTTTCTGGCCTATTCTGGAAAATATCCAGGAATAACCAAAATGTTGCACATTTCTAGTTATTCTAGAGTGTGATGTGCCTAGGACAGTCCATCCAAGCATTCATGACACATAATTTCTAATTTTGTGCAAACCTGTACCTTATGTGCTTAATGCAACAAATATAGGTGTGAATATGTATATGGAAATGTCCCTGTATCTGTAGAATGTCATAAAACTGTATTTGTTTTGAACCAATTTTTGCTTCAAATACACAAATGTTAATAGGTGAAATTCAGTCCGAACAAGAAATTCCCCCAAATTAAAAGATCATTATTATATATGATTTTTGGAAACTCCCAGTCATTGACAATTGAAAAGCAATAGCAAATATCATATGGGAATTTTCACTGGCAAAGTATTTTTATTTTAGCTAAATAATACTTCTAAATAAGTATCTAGTATTAGATTTATTGCTGCAGTATGATATTTTCAGTTGGGATAAGATTATTTTATCAGAGGGAAGTATACCCTCTGTTAAAGTTCTGAAGTTCGCAGATAGTTCAACGATCATTGACCTCATTTGAGATGGTGATGAGTCTGCACATAGATGGAAGGTTGAACAACCAGCCCTACAGTGCAGCCGTTAACAATCTGGGGCTAAATATGCTTAAAACTGTGAAGATGATAGTGGATTTTAGGAGGAACCCTTCTATTTTAACCCCTTCACATGTTATGCTACAATTAACTAGAACTGGGATCTTCCAGATTTCTCCACCAATGCATGCATAGAAATCCATGACTTTGCACTACAGTGAAATTTTGCTTTTCTCTAGAACAGGTGCACATTTTTTGATATAGTATTCACATCAGATGTACCAGATTCCACTTAATATGCTTAATCTGATTTGTATAATTTAAATTATGTGTTCTTAATTAGCTACATCACAACATTAATTATAAGTGGACCCTAGAGAGTAATGTCCAAATGTAAGGAATCATTCCTTCCAAGAATTCAAAAAAGAAAATACTATTGGTGTTTTGCTAGCAAGGTTTTGCTAGCAATTATTTCAGATTATGAATTAACACTTTAACTTCAGCAAACTATGAATTTTCAGTATGGTCACAGTACCATACAAATATTTTACAAATATTGTAATTTGTTACTGCTAGTAGTTCCTTCTAACTCCTTTTAATAATTGTGCACATATTAAAAATCCTTTAAAATTCTTTGCTAAGGCTACACCATACAAAGTAGCTTCATAATGTTGTGAAAGAACTGATTTAATTCTTCAAAATGATTAGACCTGAAAATTTAAAGAATAATTTGAGAAGTCCTGTGATTTATCAGAATTAAGTGTATATGCAATTTAGATAACAATTTTATTTTTTGGATTTTGATTAATTTAGTTTTTCTCTTATTAAACGAATAGGTTTATAAGTTTAAGGCTTTTAAAGAAGGTTAGCAACTGAATAATAAAAGAAAAAATGTAGCAATTTTAAGGCAATTTCACTAGAGGGCTCTTTGGTTTTAAATATCTTGTTTCAGGAGCATATTAGCTGAAAGTTAAACTATAAAACAGAATAAAGTTATTACAATTATAATCTTTTAATAGTCACAGTTTTTAATTCTAGCTAATATAAATTATTCAGCTAATATAAATTATAAGATTATTCAAAATGAACTTAATAAAACTTCTATAGTATTTATGTTTACTTAATGTCAATTACTTTCAACAGCACATTAATCAAAACAGTCATATGAGCATCAGATAAATCTGCAATTAAAATTTCAAACCTGAAGTCGGTCTAACCAGTTAAATATCTACTTCACGGTAAAGGATTTCGAGAATTAAAATAGAACTAAAATTAAGTAATATTTTTTTCTTGGTTTACCAAGAGTGTACATATAATTTGACTATTTTTATCAGTAATTTAATGGGACACTGATATGCTGTAATCAAAGGAATAATTACCATAAATTCAAGTCCTGCCTTAGCCATGAAAGCCAATTGGGTGATTTTGGGCCAGTCACTTTCTTTCAGTGCAACCCACCTCACAAGGTTGTTGTTGTGAGGAAAATGGAGAAGGAAGTTATGTTTGATATGTTTGCTGCCTTGAGTTGATAATAATAAAGGCAGGATATGAATAAATAAAAATATTTTATTTTTTCTTATACTCAAGTTGGCCAACAGTCAAGAACAGTCTTTCTGTTTTACTAATGACAATGATAATTCATCAGATATCAGAGTCTGAAACAGGGATTTTTTATATGCAAATGAACCTTTATTATAAGTAGCAGAATAAATAAAGTTACACAGCTGAATGGGACAACTCACTGCAGCAGGGTCGCCGCTGGGTTGCCCCATCCAGCTCACCATGGGCAACTCGCCACAGGACAACTCACTGTGGGAAAATGCTAGAGGTGAGGGGAATCTCCTCCTCCTCCCTCCCTCCCTCCCTCTCTCTCTCCTTGATCTGACTTACTGCCCCCACCAATATCCCCTGAATTCTGTGGCAGAAACTCCTCTGCATCGAAGTGTGACTCTTTCCCAATGTTGTGGCTCCGTTGCCTGAGCCTGGGCTATCGAAAGATGCAGACTCTGAGAGTGAGGGGGAGGAGTTGGCAAGGCCTCCCTCTCCAGGACCCTCCTCTCTGGCAATGCCTCCGGAGGACACTGAAGGCCAAACGATAGGCTCAGAGCCAAGCACGTCCCCGCAGCCATAGGTGGACAGCAACGAGGAAAATAAGCGCTGGCTGGACGCTCGCCAGAGGCGCAGGGAGAAGCGTGCGCAGCAGAGGGGAAGGCGTGCCAGAGATTAGCTGAGTCACTGGACCACACCCCACAGGATATAAAAGGCAGTGTGGTGGCCATTCGGACTCTGTGACGGACAAAGCTAATCTCTGGCGAGGCACTTTGCACCTTCGGACGCAACACCTATTTGCTGTGGATTTAATTACAAACTGGACTATTCAAACTGTGTGTATTTTTGTCTGTGTTATCGGAGTAAACGTTCTTGGCAGGCAGCCACGGAGTTGCTGCCAAGTTCCTTATCACTGACGTTGAGTGTTTGAAGAGTTTATTTAACCCTCGGCTGGTTGGGTGTGTGCGTGGTACGGGGACAGAACACCCAAGTGATCTTTTTTCTGGTGGGGGGGGAAGTCCCTCTTTCCCTCTCTGCTTTGTCCTCCCCGATTTTTCCCCCCAGCCTGAGCTATGGAGGAGGAGGAGGAGGAGGAGGAGGAGGAGGAGGGGGGGGAAGTTTCCCTCACCTCCTGCATTCTCCCATGGGGAGAATGGGGAGTTGTTCTGTGGCAAGTTGTCCCACAGTGAGGTGGCTGGGATGAAGTGACAGCAGTGAGCTAGCAGCAGAGAGCAAGCAGTTGCAAGTTGTCCTAAACCCATTACATATAGGACTACTGATATTTGCAGCTGTACTCCCTTACTCTGCTTACTACTACTTGCAATACATCAGAGCCATTGGGGGGGAAAATGCAACTTCTTTGAGGTTCAATTTGTTGCCTTTTACCATGACTACTTAGAGAACAAAATAATTTTTAGTCAAGCATTGTCTTTAGTATTCTTAATTCTTGTTATTTTGATAGGAATAGAGAATATTAATCCAAAACTATTTTGTACCATTACACTTTCATTATAATGTATTATTTTTACCAAGTTCTTTCGTTCCAGGGTACATATACTGGTACTACTTGAGGATAGAAATGCATATACTTCCTGTTGACATATTCTTCTCAACTTTTATCACACAATGAATTGCAAAAAAATAATAATAATAATGAAAAATCTTAATTTACTTTATCTAGTTCATAAACCTGCCTTCACCAATTTGACTAGAATTCTTTCATAAAAGTTGTCCTAGTCTTATTGTAATAATTATTAGATATTCTTCCAAAACTGAATTTCATGAGAAGAAAACACTTGTCTTTATTGCCTACATAAAATTGGTGTCAGAGTATGCAGTGAGAAAATGTAATCCTCAATTTGAGAAGTTAGAAAATAGGAAATGTGTCAACATTTTATTAAAAATGAACTTAAAGGTCAAAATTATTACATTATCTCCACCATTTAGACACACAATCTTTTATTGGGCAAGACAAAAGAAACTGCTTTCAGATATGCTATTTATAGTCACTTTTGGAGAAAACGTTTCTCCACCATTTATGAATGGCAATTAACATCATTTAACCTATAAACGGTAGAGGTTCTCCTGACCAATAGCAACAAGAAGCTTTTTCATGCAGAGGTTACTTTTTGCAACAGCAGTTGTAAGATTGATGGGTAACTACTTTATATATTTTAGATTTATTAGAAAATATATGGTTGATTGTACATTGATATATTATTCTGCATATACATCTTTATTTACAGACAATTAATTATACACTATTTCTGTAGTTTAATTGCCATTCACTGAAATAAATAACCTGAACTGATCAAAGATCTTGAAATAGATCCCTGGATATCATCTGAAATAAACCAAATAGAAACAAGGTGAGCATTAGTCAAGAGTAGAGAGGAAAATGGCAAAGACAGGAAGTAAGTACCTTTGTTTTTACTTAAAAGATTTCTGATAGCATTACCCGATCCTATAAACATTCACTCACTCCCATTCAGATCAAAATGATTTATTTTATAGTAAATGCTTGCTAGTTGTTACCTAAATTAACATTGATTTTATACAGTGATGAATTTCAGCCTAAGAAACAGCTTCCCAAAATCACAGTAACTAATTCAAACCCTTTACCTGTGATCCAAGCAGGTTTGGAGAGGGTGCAGTGGTCTGCTGCTGTGGCTGCTGCTGCTGCTGCTGCTGTAGAGGCTGTGATGTTTGTATTTTATTTTCTGTCTGTGCCAATGGCTGTATTTGAAACTTACTATCAGGCTGTTCCTGCTTTACCATTAAATTCTTTCGGAGTTGTTCAACTACTCTTTTCTAGCAAGAGAATACAAACAAAAATAGCATCATATACTTTTTGCATTACAGTAAAATACATTTCAAGATTTTTTTTCAAAAACAAATAGAAATAATGTAACATTATAAGATGAACTTTGTTTTAAGGTTCTATTTTAAAAAGTCAGTTTTGTATTATTATTAACAAAATATGAATTTTGTTAACGAGTTTTAAGTTCCAGTTCATTTTAATTACTATTACGTGTGTGTGTGTGTGTATTTATATCTGATTATATTACCACTGTTTATTTTTATCACTGTTTGTTAAACTCACTATAAGCTATAAAACATTTGATTAAATAAATTTCATATTAAATAAAAATAAAGAAAGCAAATTCATTTTTGACAATTGCTAATGCTGTCAAACCAGCAAATTTAAACAAGGATAACATATCACTAAAATCAGAAATTGTGGACAATTCAATGAAGACGCCCCTCCCCCAGGAACTATTGCTCTTTAACAGCTCAGACAAAAATGTGGAGCCGAATGAGGGCATTCATCATTCAAACCTTTCACAAACTTTTATAACAAATCAGTTAAGTGTTATAAGCAACAACAATCTTGGGTTATCATAATATCTAATTCCTGCATATGGGAGTTCTGCGTATTGCTAATATAACAGAATGTTCTTCCCCAGTTTGGGTGAACCTCCAATCCTATAATCAAAATTGTTCATGGTGTTCCTGATCTTTATTCCACCAAGCCTTTTCCACATGCATAGGAGTGGTGCATGTTTTAGACTGCATCACATTTTCTGGAGTTCAATTATTTCTGTCCTTTTTAAGCTTGAAGAATATATTTTAAAAAATTATCATTAAAATATCCACTGATTTTGTTAGCCCCTTATCCATACATGCCTATGTAGGTCATTTCTGGTATTCTGATATAAATTACAGTTCTATAATTTATTTCACACAATTTATTTTTTGTTTATCTGATGGTAATACTTTGTTTAATTATCTTACAGTAATTCTTATAAGACAATAGACACATGGCAATTTTTAGAGCCGGGCATTTATTTTTATCAACTAAAGTTCTAAATGTATTTGCTCAGAGATCAGGACAATGAAGTTCCATTTCTTTATTTAGGCATTCAAATACTGATGCATTATTTACTGTTTCTTTCTGAAGTACAAAATGATGTGTCAGCAAGTGTAGGCAAGAACAGAAGGATCATTTGCAGGAAGCAGAATACCATAAGGAAAATAACAGAACAGAAGCCAATTATACATGCCAAACTATTACTCTAATTATTCACAGTAGAAGAATATATGTTAGTTTATCTGGATAGAGAACGGTATTCAAGAGATGCTAGGCTTGAACATTCCCAAGCTAGGTTGCAATAAAAAGAATAAATCAATCAGAAGAGAAGGTAGGAAGAGCAAAAGTATGCTGTTTCAATTTTACAATTCTTCCTGGCCTTCTTCCTCAAGAAACTTGTGGATAAAAAACAGGGATGAAATTTCTCTAAGCTTTCGAAGTTTTTTGAAAGTAGGCTTTACCTACAATGTGTGAGAAAAAGGATGTTGCTCTGCATTGCTCTTTTTGTCTTCTGTGGAAAACTTTGGCAAAATACACTCCCTACTGCCTTCCATTTATAAAAGACCAGATACACAAAGGCAAAAGTTGAGTTTATTTTAATTACTTCATAAAATTAATGTAGTTATGCAACAAGTCTATAATCCAAGAAATACAGTGTTCATGTATATATGTATAATGAGCCTGGTGGTACAGTGGTTAGAATGTAGTATTGCAAGCTATCTCTGCCCACTGCCACGAGTTCGATCCTGAGCAGCTCAAGGTTGACTCAGTCTTCCATCTTCTGAGGTCGGTAAAATGAGGACCCAGATTGTTGGGGGCAATATGCTAATTCTGTAAACCACTTAGCAAGTACTGTAAAGCACTGTGAAAACAGTATATAAAGTGCTATTGCTATATATATATCTTTTTCTTTTTCGTAGGCTTTTATGTGCATATTCTTTCTAGCCAGGTTTTACCTATGTAAGCTAAGTTGTTCCACAGCCCTAGTTCTGTGAAATCTCATTCACAAGTTTCTGGGCTTTTTGCATCTTGCTGAAAAGCAACAACTCTGTGCTGCAATTTGGGAGACTCAAATAGCTATATCTGAAAATATATATATATTTTCAGTCAGAAATTGAAATTTGGTCATAACCGCTGCCACTGTTTTCAGACTGTTTTTCAACAGGTTCCTAGAACTATTCTAGGAGCCCCCGAAAACCTGGCTAGAAGAAAAACATACACACACACACACACACACACACACACACACACACACACAGATTTATTGAAGGTCAATAGGAATTTTAACTATATGAACTTTTATTCCAAGGAAACTAAATGATCTTATAATAATTAGAATTTCTGAAACCATATTTTAAAAAGTGATATTGCTTACATTGATCTTCTATTTCAGCAATTAACAATATAATGAATGCCAGAAAAGAGCACCATGGGAATACTATAAAATAAGTGTCTGCAACACTATAGTCCAGGGGTGTCAAACTCAAGGCCCCGGGGCTGGATCCGGCCCACGGGGTGCTTACATCTGGCCTGCAGGGCTGCCCTGGAAATAGCAAAGGACTGGCCTGTGGTGCTTCTGCCAGTGAAAACGGGCTCCCAAGCTCCATTTTCACTGACAGAGGGTTGCAGGAGGCTGTGGCAGCCGAAAATGGAGCTCAGGAGCCCGTTTTCACTGGCAGAGTGGTCAGGCCACCACAGGCACCCCGACACGAGTGACATCGAGTTGGCCACGTCCACCCTGGCCGGACCCACCCAGGCCCCCCGAGGTCAAACACAACCCTGATGCAGCCCTCAATGGAATAGAGTTTGACACCCCTGATATAGTCCAACTAGGTATCCATAGGATTGTCTACTCCAACTAGGACTGGCCCCAGAAATCAGATCAACTCGAAAATTTATTAATCCTACATTATTAGATGGTCTAAGGAACTGAAGCCAGAAAGCATTGTACTTCAGTGGCAGTGCTAACACTCTGGAACAAATTTCCTGCCAGATATAAGGATGGCCCTCTCCTAGTTGATATACAGAAGTTAGCAAAGGCAGAATTTGGCGAACCTTCCCTGGATTTTATTATGCCATTTTTAACTTTTATTTTAATTGTTTGGTTAATGTCATTACTACTCTTTTGATGGAAGGTTTGTACACTGGATGTTTCAACTGGTTTTATTTTCAATATAGGCTGTTAAGGCTAGAGTAGGATAAAAATATGTAAAATAAATAATTCAATGCAAGCATACTGTTCAGCTGGTACAGATGTCCTACAGATAGTCTGCAACCCAGGTCAAAAATGAGATTCAGAAATTCAAAGCTTTGGAGGTACAGGCAGAAATGCACAAATTGCTTTAATATTTCAATAAAAATATTCTTCAAGTCAAACTCAATTCCTATAACTACGTAGACAGAGAATTGGTCATTCCATCCAGTCTTCTTGGCATCATTAGTCTTAATAAAGTAATTCTATTTATCTATGGATTTGACTGAATCTATTACCTGTTTCTAATGCAAACATACATCCTATTTTGCCTTTTGGGGAGGATGTATTTACAATTAGTTTCTGATATTTGTTTCTACTTTTATCCAAGCTGCTATTTATATATTTGTTGTTATACTGTTTACGTTGTGTTTTTCTCTTGTAAGCCACCCAGAATCATGTCAATGAAAAGAGCAGTCGTACAAATCAAAATAAATAAAGGGTAGTACTGCATTCTTTGTAATCCTGTATCTAATATTTTGCCAGGAGTATCAGTCCATTTTTTAATTTACTCAACTACTTAGGATCCATTTCCTCTAGTACAGTGGTTTTCAACCTGTGGGTCGGGACCCCTTTGGGGGTCGAATGACTGTTTCACAGGGGTCGCCTAAGACCATCGGAAAACACATATTTTCAATGGTTTTAGGAATAATTTTATGGTTGGGGGTCACTACAACATGAGGAACTATATTAAAGGGTCGCAGCATTAGGAAGGTTGAGAACCACTGCTCTAGTATGTCTTTGATATATTATAAATCACATCATTTTCTGTTTTGGTAAGCATTTCTACTTTCAATCTCTTTTCCCAGCTGAAGCATCACCAGAACACATGTTTATAACATCCTGTCATCTACTCATCCCACTCCATTTTGGATCATTCAGACCTTCCTTAAATCTAGCTCTTTGCAATTATTCTTTGGCTTTGGATATAGAAAATATACTTCAGTCAGGTGACACAGCCATGATTTATAATGATCAAAGAATAATAATTATATCCTAAGGAAATGAATAATTGGACATAATAGCTAAGGAATATAGCAGAGCTATCTGAATGTATTTATATATTTACACAGCTGCTCATCCCACAGTATTGAGCACTTAATGACTGTTTTCATTTATATCTTTTATTTTGAAGGACTTAACATATATTTTAGCCTATTCTGCCCACATTTTGTCAACAGAGCCATTTTTGCAGGTAGTCCTTCAGCACTAAACAAGACTGAATACAACTCTAATCCCCCCTATAAATAAACCATTCCTGAATTAGAAAATTCAGTTAAAGTAGGTAGCATTCATCTATCCTTTATAGAAAGAACAAAGAGAATAAATAATATGTACTATAATATGTACTGTAATAATATATACTAGTTTGAAAATTGCTTTGATTCTGGTATTCATTGGGGGGGGGACTTTTACTTTAGCTCCTGAGGAGTGACACTGTTGCCACTTTACTGTTTCCAGTAATACCTAATCTACAAGGTCATGGACACCGTGTCTTGGAAGAATGAATGGCTTTCTTCTCAGCTAGAACTGTCACAACAACAGTTTTGAAGAGGAAGTATTGATTTCATTTGACATCTGATGGAGCAAAATGTTTCTGAATGCCAACACTGATCATATAAATAAAATGTCTTAAAAGTAATATAATATGGAATAGCAAATATAAGAACTTTACTTCACATACTATTG